ATTTTATTAATAAACTAAATACTAATGGGATATTTTTGTTATCTATCAACCCGACAGCTGACATCATCTCCATTCGCTTCTCACTTGAACCGGTCCAGTGGTGGGCTCCATGGCTGATGTGGCAAAGCAGCTAAAATACTGAAGAACTGTAGTTTTGCTTATACCTGCTTATACCATTTCTCTACCCTTTCTGTACGCCCTTCCCTTTGTGTATTTCATTTTGAACTTAAAATTCCCCCCAAAACCAAAATTAAGGTTGGAGCCAAAACTGATCTGATATATATATACAGATATATGCCTCTGCTCTGCTCTGATCTATAAACCAAAAACACATAATCGAAGCCTCTGCTCTGTAAACCAACACATAAAATCGAAGCTTCTGCTGTGTAAACCAACACATAAAGATGAAGATTTATGAAGAGAAGGTCAAGGATTTAGGCATATAAAGATTTTTGAAGAGAAGGACCCTGTTCAGAAGCTCGATTCGGAAAATTCACCATGCATTCCGGCGAGAAGCTGAACTTCCGATCATACCTTCCGACGAGAAGCTGAAGCTGCGATCATCCATTCCGGCAGAAAGGTAAAGGATTCCGGCAGGGCATGCTTGTTCTGCTCCTTCTCTATCTCAGACAAGTAAGATCTCAGCCAAGCAGAATCAGTTGCTGCGCGAACGCTGAACGGAATCTGACCCACAACCCCTAAATCCCTCCCGGATTTGCCAAAGCTCCACCTTTTCTTCTCCTTGCGGTCGCCGGAACTTGTATTATCCACTCTTTCCTTCTCTTGCTTCATACCCAACAAGCCTCTAAACCACCTGGTAGCTTTCCCCATCTTCTCTGTAAAAAAAAGGAGAGAGATAGGAGGTACAGAGAGAAAGAGAAGGAGATGAAGGCGAAGAAGAAGAATAAGAAGTTAGGAAGAAGTAGTGGGTGATGCAGAAGCACCTTTCATAAAAGGTTTCAGTGCCATCATCAGCTCTTGATATGAGAAATTCGAGAAAATCTATAGCTGCTGCCATTTTCTTCTCAACCAAAGGTTAACAACAAAATTATATATATATATATATATATATATAAAGCAAAGAGATCTAAACAAGAAAACTCTTAAAAACAGACCCGTTTCTTGTATCAAAACTACAAGAAAACAAAAAAAAAATTCTACAAACAAGGATCAAAGAGGTGTTAAAATAAAGAACCCTTTAAAATCTTTAAAGATCTGAAACTAAAAACACCAAAATCAACATGAGAAACAGAAAAACAAGCCCTTTAGTTGTTTTGATCAAATTAAAACTAGTATAGAACTATATACCAAAAAAAAAAAAAAAAAAAAATCTCTATTCTGAATCAACTGACTTTCAAAAACACCCTTTTGGGTTGATTTCTTTTGGGATTAAAATGAATTCGAAATCGAGAAAACAAACCCTGAAATTGAAATTTTGAAAGACAGATTAATTACAGAAAGGGATCAGAGAAGCGAGGATGTTAAGAGAGGGGAGAGAGAAGATGATTAGTAGTCACTCAGTATTTTGTGGCCTCACTTTGTGTTTTTCACTCTTGTTTTTTTTGATCACCCATCTGTGTGCTTAAACGAAATAGGATACTGTCATCTTCATAACCCACTGAAGGGTGAGATGAGTCTGAATCACCTTTTCATCTCACATACATATATTTGTCGGTGTATCTATACATTTTGTATATACAAAATACACATCTCTCCAATTAGATTGAGAATTAAGAACCATAGCAGGCTTAGCAGCAGCTCTCTGACGCGACGAAGAACAGTGGAGATTAGGGTTCTGTAATTTTATCCCAAAGGTAAAGTTGAAGGTAATTTTTAACAAAAAAAAATATTAAATATAATTGTAAATTATGTATTCTGATTTCGTATAATGTATATGTATGATGTATTAATATAAATGTATGGAGTATTCGTACATGTGATAAATGAAAATAATACATCAATAACTTTTTTGTGTAAATGCTGATTGGGTGCTGACTGGACGATGACATGGCAAAATGGGCTAAGGTGGTTTCATCTCAGTCCTTGAATCTGCACTGGATCTGCTCCAGTGAGAGGTACACTGGAGCAAATTCGGATCCCACCCAAAGCAACATATAATTTGATGATCAAATAATATTATGATTTAAAATATGAAGAACTCCTATCATTTTTAGTTGTTTGGTGATGAGCAGTTAGACTCCACCTCTATATATAGGGCAACCTCTTGTAATAACTCTTATAATAAATGTTTAAGATATGTACAAGTGGCAACGATTTAATAAAACTCAATCTAAAAATGAGAGTTTCTCTAAAAATGAGAGTTTCTCGAATGCTCCAAAGAATTAACTTTGACACTTTTGGGTTACTGACTTCTACACTACTTTATAAAAATCTATATAAAAGTTTAGTTTAGTTTAGTTTAGGTTACTTTACACTAACTCTAGAGAATTTCGATTAGTCGAGCCTTCTATTTAAAAAATAAATAAATGGAAACCATAATAAGAAAGGGCAAAAGCCAAAAGGTCAACAAGAAGTCTATAATGTTGCTGACATGCATGCTCCAATGTCATGATTCTATTGTTTGCCCACGTGGCATAATCTTCCATGACATGACATGAAAACATTCGTGGTTTTCATTAGAATTGTTTTTAGTGGGGGCGACTTAAATAATAATAAGATTATTAATATTTTAAACCAAGATAATAAATTCAACTATTCAAGAGTAAACTATATTTAACCTCCTTTGATTTTTAGAGTTTTGTAAGAAATCCCTTTCAAATTTGCTAGCTATTGGTGTTATTATTTTGGAAATGAAAATGGCAGCTTACTTTCAAAATCTCCTAAAACTAATTCATTTAATACGGAGTTCTTTTATTTAATTTTTTATTTCTGAGCTACACAACCTCTTTTATTCGAAAAATTATTAATTATGTGTCAAGTCATCTATATAACCAAAATACAAACAATCTATTAAAATAAATGTTCCAATAACAATTTAGTAAAATCGTTTTACTTTAATGAAGTGTATGTACTCGTTTATTGTACCAATGCTCTGACACAGACACAGAAATTATAATCAATAATTTCTCATAACTCATGTACACATGCATCTGACGACTACATATGAAAATATAATAAATAGTTTTTCGTTATTAGGACAAATGTCATTCCCTCGTGCCTTTCTAAGAGGATATCATTATACCACCAACTCACCTTAATGTACACTCAAAATTGGCCTTAGAAAAAATCTTTTGACTCGGTGAGTTTGAAAAATGACACAACTCTAGAATTCTAAGCAAGCTGAGGAAGCCGGGCTTTGTCAAGACGAATGCTCTGAATCTGATAGCTACAGCTGAGTATTTTTTATTAAAAAACGAATAAATCACTGTATGTATAATTACACAAAGGATAGATCAATGTTTTTTTTAGTTAGAACCGAAAAAAAAAAAAAAAATGTTGGATTTGATGAACATGTAGCAAGCGAAAATGGATTGTTGAAAACTCTGAGTCTTGTGAAGCTCAAATTCTACTGTTGGTTAGCTTAGAATGTCCAACAATTCCTGTGGTCCACATGGGTTTCTGGTATGATTGTGAAGGCATCTGTTTGTTTATTGTGTTAATTACAATGACACCCTCTGAGATTTGTTATAATTACAACTATATACAAGTTAGATCATTTTTGAACGATGACACCCCTCTAGGTTTGATAAAGTTAACAAAGACACCCCCTGCTAGAATTTTTGATCCAAACAGACCCTTAAAAGGTGAGAAAAGACTAAATTGCCCTTCAATAAAATACTAATTTTTAATTTAAAATATCCAAATCTTCAAATGACAGAATTACCCTTATTAATTTCAATTTTATATTTCTATCCTCTCTTACTGAAAACCCAGAAATTTTGCCCCCAAAACTACCACCACCCACCACTACCACCTCCACCAAAAAACGAAACAAAGAAATTGCAAATGGGTTTAGTGAGAATTATTGCATATTATTAATTAATTTCTCTGTGCCTATCCAATGTGTTTCTTCAATTTTGTAGGCAAAAATATATATATATATTTCTTGAAAGAATGAACAGGGGCGATAGTGGTAGAGAGAGTAGAGGCGGTGCCGAGCCTTCGTCAAAGCATCCACTGGCCGTGGAGACTCGGCGACGAGCACGGCTGTGGATGAACTGCGGCAAAGCGGTGACGGACTAGCTGTGACGGCTTAATGAAGCCGATAGAGACGGGCTGGTTAACTGCGGTGGTGAGCGAGGAGGGACTCTTGGTTTTGATGATGTCCACCGACGGGCAAGGAAAACTTGGTTGTGGATATCTGCGACCGGCGATGAGAGCGACGGCGAGCTCGGCCAGTGGCTGTGGATCGGTGAGACAGATCTGGATGTCCACCGGCAGGGACTCTCGGCTTTGATGATGTCCACCGGCGGGCAAGGAGAAGTCGGCTATGATCTGCGACCGGCGATGAGAGCGACGGCGAGCTCGGCCGGTGGTTGTGGACGGTGAGACAGATACGGCGGGGGAGGTGGAGCTCGACTGTGGTTGGCGACGGTGCTGCTATCCCAATTTTTTGTTGGACTTGGTTTTATATATATATAATGGTATTGATGTAATAATGTATATATATAAGGGCAAAATTGACTTTTCATAAGTTCTGATATTTTTTCACAAAAATGAATTAAACATTGAAAGGCAATCTCGTCTTTTTAACATTTTAAGGGCTTGTTTAGATTAAAATTCTCACAGGGGGTGTCATTGTTCAAAAAATAGCTAAGTTGTAATTAACCCTTGTTTATTTTATAAGAGAAATTTTTAAATGGCGAATCACCATTGACATGTAACTTGTAAGTAAAAGATAGTTAAATAAAATTTAGGATAAACTGTATTTAACCCCTGATTTGAAAGGTTTTGCAGTAAATCCCTTTCAAATTTGTAAGCTATTGGTGTTATCATTTTGAAAATGGAAATGGCAGTTCACTTTCAAAATCTCCCAAAACTAATAGTAAATTTAACACAAAGCTCTTTTATTTTATTTATTTCTGAGCCATAGGTTAATTCAATGATAACTTATAATTTTTAAGGACCAGTATCTCTATTAATTTATGACACTTGTGCCGTACTAGGCAAAATGTGAAAAATGCCGTCGTATCAGAGATCATTATGCACCATTAAAAACATTGATCGGTCCTCTGTAATTATAGATGATGTAGTGAATTATTCATTTTTTAATAAAAATAAATAAATAAATACTCAGCCGTAGTTCTTCAGCTCCACATGCATCCTTGACAAAGGAGACCTGGCTACCTCAGCAACACTGTTAGCGAGTGATGTTAAGAACATACTAGAATTGTGCCATTTCTCAAACTAACCAGTGTACGAATGTGAAACACCTCGGCAACTCCAAGTAATTTCCCCGCTGTGTCTTTTTTCGCATCCGTCCAGAAGTAGCTCTTGCTAATAATCTTTACAGAGCTCCATTTCACTGCAAAGGCATGTAATATCGGGAACTATACCTCCATTACGATACATCAGAATCCCATTCCCTACTAGATCATTCAACAAAGTGGCTGGGTCTTTGGCTCCCCCATGCTGCAAGAAATTCATCCGAAGAGCAGATCCCGTTGCTAATGATAGTGGATCCTCCTCGCATATATTGTGCCATATGGTTGCTGCAAAGCACTTGGCATACAAGTAGCTATAGTAACCTACATACGGTCATATATTAAGGACGCATGAGACATTTCACCAAATATGTATACATACGTCTCCACAAAAATAATATATACAAATGTAAAGCTGAATGGAAAAATAGTAACAAAACTATTATGTAATGATTAAATAACAATTTACGGATTTAGGGGGAAAACATAACAATTTATGGATTTATTCTGAGCCCTGCCCAACTTGCATCCTTAGTTTCACACTATTGAGGCAAATTTTTCTGCACTCTTGGAAGGCCCAAGGATGCTGCTTCTATAAATCTAAAATGTTGCAGGACGGAGTGCAATCTGGATGTGGTGGTTGGATCATGGTTATAATATTGCCCAATGTCATTATGTAATGTAGTTGCGTAACATTAGCAATGGGTGTTGAACCCATTTTGGACAAACCGTAAATAAGATTGGGTTTGGTAAGGTTAGGTAAAGAAACTAGAACCCCGTAATTAAAACAGTGCCCTGATATTTTGAACCGTAAAGAATCGAGGAAATTCCCTAAACCAAACCAATCCAAACCATGTAAGAACGGTTTGCATCGGTTCCATTGGGCTCATTGAAACCCACCCCAATTATAACTAGGCCTATCTTAAAATCAAAGGTTTACTCGGCTCAAAATTATGATCCAAATACAAATTTTACATAACCCAGACGCAACTTTATTCAAACATAAAAAATTCTATACACAAAATTTCGGTAACTATAATCACGGTTTAGTGTGTGACTATTATTAAAAACCAAACAGATAAAAACACATACATACGCATAGAATCATTAAACAAATGAACCATTAAATGAAAAAGAACTAATCCTAACAATTCAACCATTTTTTAATCGTTGACCCTCTAGAATGAACCAAACTGTATGAGTTTGATTTGCATTGCAGTTTGGACTGGATCATTGGACAACCCTATCATGAATAATATAGCAGTCCTGTTGAAATTCACAAGAATGAGACTGTTACAGTGTCATAAGGCCTAGGACAAAGCCATAATGAGAGAAATATAAGTGAACATTTTCAATCTATTTCTTTAATTTTAAGGTTCGGAACCAATGTGCTACAAAAAAAAAAAGAAATTGTATAACTGTATATCCACCCCTCCCCCCAACAAAACGGTTGGTAATATAATCTAATTGTGATCCTCCATTAGGATTCTTGGGATTTCCACTAATGGAAACTTTACATGTTTTTTCTTAAGTTCACTTTTTTTGGATTGGCATTGGTAAAATTTATTAACCCTAACCTAGAAATCGTGTTTTGAAGTTAGATCACAAAAATTCATGAGGAATCTAATTCTGATATAGGTCACTATTATATCCTCCTTTCATTTTATTCTGTTTCTGACATTGGAACAACAGAGCATGCTTTAACTGTTAATATATTCTAGGGGTGGCAAAATAGGTTAGGAACTATCAACCCGCCCATATCCGCCCACTTTTTAACAATTATGGGTGAACCATATTTAATTTGAGGGTCAAGATGGGTTGGGTAATTTTTAACCACTGAATTTGAGTGTCAAGATGGGTTGAGTAATTTTTAACCACTGACTTTGAGTGTCAAGATGGATTGAATATGCAACCCATATTTCACCCATCACATAATAAATACACAACACACATCTATTCTATATTGCACTCAACTCATTTCTGCTTCAAAAATTCTCTCACTTACAATCCTCTCTCTAAATTTGTTTCTCATCAATCCCCTCTCTCTAAGTTTCTCTCTCTAGAAATTTCTTCTAAAAAAAATAAATAATTAAAAAATAATTAAAAAATTAATAAAAATTAATAAAAATTTTAAATAATTAAAAATAATAATTATTTTTATTTTTATTGTATATAATATTAGACAACTAATTATTTTGCAAATGAATAGTAATTTTACGAAATATTATTTTAATGTAATTTAGAAAACTACCAATTTTAGAAAATAAGATTCAATAAAACTTTTAAGAAATATAGTTATGAGAAATACGGTTCTTCAAGGAGAACCAAAAAAAAAAAAAAAAAAATTGATTAATTTTTTAAAAGAATATATAACTTTAGAAAATATTATTTCTTGGAAATATGATAATGGGAAGCTAATCCAAGCTACATCAATTTGTTGACTACGGAAAATTGACAGATGTTAATAGAACGGTTTGAATCCTTCATAACAAGAAGAAATTTCATCTATATATATAAATATATATATATATTTAAACCCTTTATCAATATATATGTATATATACATATATATGAACCAATATATATCATGTATTTCTATTCACCATAAATTTATAAGAAAACAGAAGCCGTATCATAAATCTTTAACTTATTTCTTTTATTAATATACACACATACAATAATTAGTTGATGGTTCATATTCAAAGCACCTATCTCTCCATTACTAAAATTTCATTATTTTTCTGAAAGTATAAAAAAATTTAAAAATAAAAATTAATAATTAATAATTAATGGGTCCACAGGTCATAACGGGTTGAACCTGCCCGTTTTCAACCCGCCTGTTTTCAACCCGTTCTGAACGGGTTGAATATTAGTCTCGACTCATGTTGACCCGCCCATTTTCAACCCAACACAAACCCGACCCAACCCGCCAATTTGCCACCCCTCTCATGTTTAATATACTTATAAACAGTAAATCTTACTAACATTGTAAAAAAATCAATACAAAATCAACCATCTATTAAATCATGTTAATAAGTTCCGCAAAATTCATTACAATCCAGAATCGTGGAAATCTTGTGATAAAACAAGCTTACCACATCTCGTGGAAGTTGTATAATTAAAAAAAAAACAAAAATCACTTCAGTACCAACACAACACGATTAGAAAATTAAGATTACATACACATATACACACATTATACATTCGGTGTGCCACTTAGGAAGAGTGAAATAGTCCAAATTGAGGGCAATAGTAAGGGAAGAGGAAGACCAAAGTTAATGTGGATAGAGTTAGTAAGGATATGATAGCATGTGGTTTGACTGAGGCTATGGCCTTAGATAGAAGGGAATGGAAAAATAGGATTCATGTAGCGGACCCCAAGTAGTTGGGAAAAAGGCTTGGCTATTGCATATATATATATATATATATATATTCAATGTATTTGAGTTAAAAAAAAAAAACAAACAAACAAACAAAGGGCATTATAGTAAATGTACCACATAACCAAGGCAGGGGACCCCTTATTCCACCCAGTGCGGTTTTCTTTTTACTCCCAAATCCATCCCATTGGAGACAGGGTGGGAACCCTCAGGGGCGGGGCAAATTCTCACCCCTACTTGTAATGTTCTTTAACAGCTAAAATACAAATTTTGACTTGAAACCAAGATAACTACTCTCCACATAACTTCCAAGTCATCATGCCAAATTTTGTCAAATTAGCAAGTATGTGTCATTTCATGGCGCATCAATATCTATATATCATATGAGTACATTCTATGTCATTATGCATATATATACACGAAATAAGTGAATTCATGGTTGTAAAGGTACCTGCACCATAATTTAGAAGGTGATTAAATCGGGTGTGCCAATGTGTACCCTCCACATGTTTCCAACTGGTATGTCGTCTTCTCAAATCCGCAACAACAGAGATTGTATCTCTTGGTGAGGATGGCTGTTCCCCAAAAAGAGTTTGGTCTATTAACGCATAAAAGATCTGATAAAAGAGACAAGCAACCAAACATCGATCAATTTTCATGTTTCTTTCTCTTCTACTGTCAAATATATAAAATTGTTTGTCAATTCATTCAATGGCTCAAGAGGACGAACCTGACGTTGCATCTCAGTTGCAGCAAACATTTTTTTTGCACCCTTCATTGAATCCACCAATTTCTCCGGTATTACTTCACCAGTTGAATAGTGTTTAGCAAATGTCTTCAGGACACGATAGTCCCATGCATAGTACCTAGGAAAAACAACAAGATCGGTATTAAGATGGCTAACTTAAAGTCATTAGTGAATTTCCAGCACCGAAAAATGCATATATATCACAGAACTTTTTTTTTCAGAATTGAATTGTACCCCATGATTCCTTTGTAAGTAGCTCTGCCACAAAAAATCCTCACACAATTATGGTTCTTTGGGTGCGGAAATCAAGTGCCAAGGGTTCTGAAAGAGATATTCCCATTTCTTTTTGCTTGACATGAGCCAAAAACATCAAGGTTTGAGGACATTTGTTGGTCTTATGAAAAGATTAGTCAAATTTTTAATTATATTCAGATTATGTAATGTTTATTTTGATGAATTGTTCATATTCAACCCTAAGCAAGCCAGGTGACAAGACTTCTTAGCTGAGTTTAATATGTATATCGAGCATAAGCCAGGACACACAAATCTAGTGGCTCATGTGTTAAGTTGGAAGAAATCTTGGCAGCTTGAAGCTATGGGATATGACTTCTGTGGTCTTATGTTGATTCCCATATTTAGATTAGAAATGAGGGATTTTTATTTAAGTGATGATGCTAGATATGTAGTTAAAGTTAGGATGTTAATGATAATGAAAAATAAATATAAAAAAAACTGATGCCTACCATAATCACTTTTGAGACCCATCTATCATACAAGAAGTTGATGCATCGATTTACAATTACAGCAAGCACAAGTTGCTACGTCTGTGATGGTCCCATATGCATTTTCTGTTTTTCTAGGAATTTTTTTTATTTTTTATTTTTTATGATACTTTGAAGCCTTAAATACCATTTGTTTTGCAAACTGCTGCAAGATAGCTCCTAGCTTCGCTATGTGCAACATCTACTACCACCCTTAATTTATGTCGTCACCCTCAGCACTAACCGTTACAAAGGCTTTGCTCCTTACAAATATAACATGCACTTTAGCACTCTAAACAATAAATTTTCACCTTGTTAGCATACACAAAAGAACACTTCTATCAAGTATACCAAGTGTCAGAAATCAACTTGATCTCTCAACAGTCCTCCACCATCCTAAGAAAATAACTACTGTTTTATGATTAGATCTACGTAATCAAGCTGGCCATCATACATTCATATACTTGATCTACCAATTGAACCAATTAAGAGGTAGTTCCCAATCAATTTTGTCCTATGACAAGATTTTATTTGTCATTGCACCAAATAGCATAAACTCCAGCCCTATATCTATAACAAATATATATCCAACTTCCCTACTTCTTTAATGTACACAGCATATTAAAGATGGGAGACCAGCCGGTGGATCACACCATAAAAGTTGCAATAAGAAATGAATATGGTGCCAATCAGATTTAATCATCAGAACCCATTCTGTGACTATACGCCATTAATAAATGCAAATATAAACAAGCGTGTAGAAGTAGCACCTAAAGGCTACTAAATTGTATTTCACACATACATGCTACTCCACAGTCAAGCAATGCATATTGTAGTTAGCACTCTACTCACTCAAAGAGGTTTGAAGGCGTTTCAGCTAAATCAAGAACCACCCTGGTACCAGAAAAATGTTGGTAATCCTGCAAAAAAAATTAAAAAAAAAAAAAAATAATAATAATAATAATAATAATAGATAACAAAAATTAAAAATTAAAAACTAAATTAAAATAGTGAAAACAAGGGTACAATCTATCTTTAGTAGCAAGGTGTCGATAGAATACCGTTCTTGAAAGCAATGAATGAAGAGCATGCCCAAACTCATGAAAAAGAGTTTCTACTTCCCAGTGGTTAAGCCTCACAGTTGATGAATTATGTGAACCCGAAAAATTGCACACAAGGGCTACAACCTGCCTTATGATAAAAAAAAAAAAAAAAAAAAGAAGCAGCTAAATTTAGAAAAGAAAAAAAAAAAAACTAGATGCATACCTTACAAACAACTCCACGAACAATCACTCTACTGTGGCCCCAAAAAAATCTGAGGAACCAACGGGCATGATTTAATAAATCCCAGGATTTTGTATACTTATCCCAAAAATAAGGAAGGAAGAAAGAAAACTCTACTAAGGAAATTTCAAACAATATTCTAGACATTCCCATAATACCCAGAAGTTTTCGTCCAAGGGCCCAATGCCTTGGAAATATCAACAAACCAATTAATTTAGAGAACTCATCAAATTTGATGACCTTAAGCAAGGTGTTTAATAGTATTTTGTTCTGTGTGATTCAGTTTCCATAACAGTCAAAAACCAAAGCAGTTGGTAGTTGGTAGAAGAAATATGCAGCATTGTAGCAGTTGATTCAAGCCTCTAGGACATCATGCCAAAAAAATGGAGTATGCATGACGTACACATGAAAGTTAAGTAGATAGGAGACTTAATGGTGCGATTCACATTTAATAGAAAACTGATGATTTAGTATCTAAGCGGAGAATTTTGGCTTTAGCAGTGGATCAAGTTTAAAGAAAAGCATTAAACTAACAACATGGTAATATTCATGCTCAATCTACTGATCTCGAGGAAATAGCACTACCATTAGTTCTAATAACACAAGATAGACCAAATTGTAATTTTCTTTTCATTCTACCCTTGTACATAAGATTGACCGACTGGACTGCGTAAGGAGAACTCAGCTTTAGATTGCAGGATGCTTTAATTTTACTTGCCAATATTACAATAAAGCTGCTATAAGTTGATTCTTCTCCAAGTGGAGATGGAGGCTTGAGGAAGCATAAACATACCACCCACCTCCCAGGTTCCCACACAGCATCCTTAGCTGTCTACTTTTCCACATCAAAAATTGCTTAAGTTATGAAGGAAGAATCCGGAGGATAGTGTGCAGCAAAAATGCTAAAGTCATATAGTGAACAAAGAAATCAATAATTACATTGCATGGACTTTGTTAAAACAAATTACATAAAAGAAGTTTACACACTGCAGGAAAAAGAAATGAAGTGGAAAAAAAAGATGAAAAAATCAATTTACATACAGGAAGTTGGTATTCTGTTTCAGAGATACGGCGACCCCCTTTAATGGCAAAATGAGCACAGCCAGGATACTTGTCCTTTCTTGAATGTAAATCAAGGTATAAGTAACCCAAGTCACCCTGAAATAAAAGTATAATGCCTCAATAGAAGGATAAAAAGACGTTGAATTAACAGAAGTAAATTAGAGCTTTTCAGATATGTGCAAACTAAATTAAGTAAAATCATTGCTGGCAGTGGTCAAAAGTTCAGCTCATATTCTGTGTGATTTGAAGCTATTAAAAACCAGCAAGAATGTTAAATATTACTAAGCCTAAAGTTGGCAGCACTTGCGCCCATAAAAATTCAGAAGTAGGAATAAAATGTGGAACATATTTTTCATTCTACAAACCATCTCTTTAACATAGTGCCCGTAAATATAGTACCAAACCACTGACTTTGAGTTCAAATATATGCCAGAGAGCATGAGATCGATAAGATTAATGAAATATCACTTAATGAAAAATCAGCCAATAGGAAAGCAGTTGTCATACTTGTGAGGGCACTAAAATATATGCCAACCATAGCCATTTGACATTATTGCCTTCATGCAAGCTCTCAATTTTGCTTTCAATAAGTGAAGGATTTTGAGAGAAAACCAAGTATTTAAGATTCTAGGAATAGGGCATTTGCACGAAAATGGAAGTAGCAAAGTTTTGAGGAAGAGAAGGAAAGATTACAAGTGCAGGGTTCAAGGAGTCATCCTAGGACAAAGAAATATCACACATTCTTAAGGTTCGACAAAGAAAACAAATCACAAGATGTTGAAAATTCCTCATCATTTCTTAGAAGAGGCATTACCGAAACAAAGATTCTCAGAAGAGACATCACCAAATAGGTTTCAACATCTCAATTTAACCTTAGCAACGACTGTTCTTGACCATCAGAATGAAGTGAGCAAAGACATTGATAATTGGTGCCATAGTGACGAGTACAGATCGGGTGAATTATTGGAAAAAGGAAAAGATGGGAATATATTATCAAAAATATTGTAAGAGATCACAATTGAATATTAGCTTTTCCATTTTTGTATGTTTGCATTTGAGTGAGGGTTTTTTTCTCCGTTTTTTCTTTTGGTAGGGGGTAAGTTATAGATTTACATAGGACAAAATGCTATACATAGAGCAAGATGTGTATTCAGAATAATGAAGTGCTTGAGCATGATGTTTTACATGGGGAGGAAAAAAAAAAAAAACTTTTAACGAATTCCACCTCTTGAGGATGATGGAGAGACATCTTAAGCACATCTGGATGCCATGATTCACCAGGTGCTATAGGGATGCTACGAAATGTCACACCAAACAGTGATTCAACCAGCACTTTCAAACCCTCAATACACTGTGGTAAAGGAAAATACGATGCAACAACCTGCATAAAAGTTTAAGAAAATAATAATAATAATAATAATAATTCACCAGTATTTAACCAAAATAACCACTACAAAGAGTTATGTGCGAATTGTACGTAAAGGAAAATAAATAAATAAATAAGTAACTTACCACGGAGTTCAAGTTGTAAGCAGAAGACTTCATCAACCCTGTAAAGTGTGCTTCATCCCATGGCTCTAAATCTCCATGTGTTTGGCCAACTTTTTCTCTCTTAAAATCCCAAATTTTCTTGAACTCCTACAGTAACAGCAACTGCTAAAATAAGTACAAAATCACAACCTAATCTGCAGCCAGAAAGAGAGAAGTACACCAAATGATGTCTCAAGTATATGTGCTAAAACACTTTACCTCGTCAGCTTTGGGCCTGACCATTTTGCTCATCTCAAGCAAAAAGGACATTATAACCTCTGGCGTTGAAGCCATATTTGGACAGACTGAAAATTCAGCATACGATTTATATCCCATTATCTGCATACATCTACAAGAAAAAATTAATGGCTTATTGTTGAAAGTAAAACAAATTCATGGCTTATAATTTATAGTGAAAAGAGAACTTCCAGTTATAATTCTTGCTCTAAAGGGAGCAAAACCTCAATGGCTGGAATGTCTAGCCGTGAAAATGTAGTCATCAAATTTTAAAATGGAAAATGATTGAGGATTAAATCCTAAATTTAGAAAGCAATGTCCTGTGAGGCCATGAAAAATTCACCATTTTAAGCAGAATATTTGCATTGTGAAAAGGCAAATGAAAGCCCAGTATCATTTGAATGAATGTAGAAATAAATGTTAACTATAAAGAAAATTACAGCGTTTTTAAAAATAATCTCCTATGAGAAGAGATTTTATAGAACTGTCAGAAGTTGGGCCATTTCATAGGGAAGAATTGTGAGAATTGTGATAATATATGTTCTGATGATAGGAAGTGGGTGACACAAATATATACCTATAGCTATACTAAATATAAAAGAAAATATATATTTACAGGCACGTTTTCACGAACTTGGTTAGACAGCTCCTTTTTTATTATTATTCTTAGTTAGACAACTCCTTTAGTCAATAAATATATATGTATATATATTTGGGTAAACTGCATTTAAAAAAAAAGAACCCTCAACTTTCACGGTATCTTTCATTTTTGCACAAAATCCCCCCTTGTACTATCCCAAAGATATGCAGATAGCCCCCTGCCATTGTGGAACATTACTATATTGACGGAAAATTGACATTTTTTGGACCTGAAATCTTTTTAATACCCATTTTTATTTATCACAATGACCTTCAATCATTTTTAGATCCATGAATCGACCCCTAATGTAAATAGATTAAACATATTTTGAATTCTAAACATACATACACATATATATAGCTCTATTTTTTTTTTTTTTTGGTCATTAGTTTTGTCATTTTACAAGCAATGTTCTTTTGATTTTTTATTTCTTGAGGGTTGAAATGGTAAATTAGGTGATTGTTAACGGCACTTTAGTGGGGTGGGGGTGAGTTGCAACTTTCAATTAGTTCAGGGGGTATTTTCAAAACTGTGAAATTTAAGGGGGTTTTTTTGTGCAGTTAACCTTTTTATAACCTTTTGATATTCCACCCCACCCAACACCCTCTATTAGAAGAGATCTTTAGCTTTTGTTAGAAGAGTTGTTCATTTTGTATAATATATAAATTACCATTTAACTTATCAAATCAACATATATGTATATTGTTAACCTGAGCAATCTCATGGCGAGCAGCTATAAGCTTATCAAGAATACCAAGGTTCTCGCGGGGGACAGAATTCCCTTGAACATATGCCATCTTCCTAACCTGGATGTGTGGTTTTAAGAGAAAAAGAAGACAACAGAAAAAAACTGTAAATTTTGGTTGAATGAATAGAGAAGGAAATATGACAGATAGAGAAAGAAAACAATCTAAATTCTCAAAGCAAACTGAAGTGCCTAGACTAGATATATCTAGTTGAAAAGATTTGATGAAATACATCCAAACTATCAAATAGTAAATGTAAAAATCTTGGAAGTCAATCTCTACTTGATTTTTCATAAAGGTTCAGTTCATGCACATAATTGGTTGTTCTGGAGATTCTGGACGACTTTGTTGAGGCAAAGGTCAATAGATTCAGAGACCAAAAATATGGAAGAATAGCTAATACCTCAGCATCTGATGCCCACTGTAGTATAAAGGACAAAGTATTTGGCTCTGTTACTATCCGAAATCCTTTCTCTTTCATGTTATCTCTTGACTTGAATGATTCCCTAGCTGTACTGGATGTGGAACGATAAATGGGCTTAACGAGATGATGCAAGACTTTTGGGATACGCGATGCCGGAAATATATCCACATAACCTGGGTGAGTGATAATATTCTCACTGAACCTGACGAAAGATGAGCATGCAAAATAATATTGCAATCAATTAGCCAGCTACATATGCTTCAACACTCAAAAAATTTTAAACAATCTTGAAACTAAAATAAAACTTTGGTAGGCCAACAAAATCAGCATTCTTATATGTATCTTCCAGCGTAAAAACTCCATAAACTTCAAAACCTATTTGACCTTCCATGGAGACTACAATTCAACGGATTCTCCAAACACAAAATTTGGTTTTAGAATTAATGCCCTTATGTATACCCCACACATGCACATACGTATATATCTTTGTGGATAGATTAAATTGTGAAGATAAATAAATGTGAACAGTTAGGTACAGGGTTCAAAGATGAAGATATGCAAAATTTAGATTTTGAAATGTTGAAATCATGTTTATACTAAAAAAATATATATTTAATATTGAAACAGGAACTTGGTAGTTCTTTGACCTACCTATTTGAGGCTACATCCAAATCAGCAAGTGCGAAGAGGGGAATAAAGTAGAATAGAGAAATAGGATTCATGTGGTTGACCCCAAGTAGTTGGGAAAATACTTTATTTGTTATTGTTGTAGAGAAGAAGAATAAACAAACAATAAAATTGTACGAGGACAGTGAATGACACTTGTGAATAGCGTCTTTTTGCTTAGAAAGAGGAATAAGAGCGAAGGAAGAGAGGAAGAAGGACATGCCCATGGTTTAGTCCCCTGGATTTCCAGGAACAAAATAAATAAATAACTTCTTTTTTTTTCATTATAAATTATATCCACCAAAAAACATCAAATCATTTCCAAAACTAATAGAAATATTTACATTAGCCTCTCTTTCATAAGTGCCTTCGTCCACAGCAACCTATACTAAAATTTAGCTAAGAAGCAGTCTAAATAGGACTTTGAAATTAAAATTTAGGCAAAGCTTGACATAGGTAAAGCCAAAGTTGTGGTAGCAGAGTGGTAAATGTGCTAACATGGCATCTTAAAAGGAGGGGCAGGGTCAGGAAATCAATTCTTATCTCTTACTAAAGAAAAAACTCAACCCAAATAAAACTTGAACGAAGATAAAATTTGACATTAACCCAAGCATGAAAGAAAATCGATAAAATACCCAAAAACGATGCTACCGTAAAATAAAAAGAAAATTAATAAATAAGATATTAGCAAATTTTACCCCCAACTTAATTTAACCATCGCTCACAATCAAGGTCATTTTAAATTATAGAGAGATAGATCACCTAAAAGATTATCAATGTGGTGAACCTATCACTTTTCCATCAAGTTGATCTTGGTAATTTTTTATTTTTTATTTTAAGTATAGCTGATCTTGGTAAATAAGGGTCCATATTTATTAACCAAGGCAGTAAATTGCAATATATTGTAAATTATTATTAAATAGCTTGTCAAGTTTGTCCCAGCTGCACATTCACTTGTCCAACTTCAACCTCCCACCAATACCATGCACGGATAAAATAATCCCACAAGCTTAGCACTGTGAAACAGTCATGCAGAGTCCAATTCCCATATAAACTTTAATTTTTAGATTACTTATAAAATAGGCAATGAGTGGCTTGTTCTTTTTTTTTTTCCCCAATTGCTTGATGAGACATGTGAGGGCATGACTAATATAGGGAGCATGAAGAAAGCAATGAGCATTTGATCATAATGTATTTGAACACGTATAAATGAGATTCACTTACTCCCTACATAGCTGAGATATCCCAATATTTAGCTTATTAACTCGATCCAACTTTTCTGTAAAATAAAACAGGGAAATTAAATTATATAAAGGGAAAACCTACAACACATCAGAAGTAAAAGTTAAGGTGAAAATACTGGTACCAGCACAAAGATGAATTCCGCCCTTCTCAAAGTCAACACGAAGGTGATGAGCTGTCCTTTGAGCTTCTTGGGTTAGCAAGCTACCATCTTGCTCAGCTCTTTTCACCGCATTATATAGGGAATGGTTTGTATTGAGATACTATACAATCAAGCAAAAATGACAAAGTAACTATTGGCAGTAGAATAAGAATAAGAATAAGAAGAAAATCAGTCCATTAATTTCAAGTATTTTGAAAGTCAAAGTACAGGACCACAGGTACTATGGGTTTCTTTGTGATATAATTCATGCTCAATACAGATATAGTGTCTATCTATGCATACGCAACTCCAAGGTTATAACTATAAATGCAAAATTAAATTTGATTAAATGTTAATACATGCTTTATCCTTGCGTTACAAAAATATGAGCCATCGGTAATGATGAAAAAAGTATCTAATCAACAAAGATGACCTGAGAGCCTTGGTCACTCTCTAGAGTCTGTAATCCGTCAATGGGCAAATATTCATACTTTCAGGCAACCAAAAACTGATGCTTTACCTTTCTTTCTTAATCCTCTTAGGTTGAATTCAAAATTCTATGTCAAAAGGAATATATAGATGTAGTATTTGCACATGCATATTTTAATGTCCTAAAATCTCGACTTTACGTGCTCATTAAGGACAAGAATATTTGTCCACAATCATGCAGATATGCACACAAAGTGCTAATTTTGGATCAATTTGACAACTAACAACAATAGCCCCTATTGGCAAGTTCTAATCAAATTTAAAATTCCGTAAGATCCTCAAACATTGAACCAATTCTAAACAATTTTTACTGGAAAATAAACGAAAGAAAAGCTAAATCTACTAAAATTATTATTTTTAATATATATATAAAAATAAATAAAAAGGAAAAAGAAGTCAGTGGTTTCAAAATTACTTTAAGAGTCACGGAAAAAGCACAATTTTTTGGCACTTAGGATATGTTTTCAATTTTCTTGTGGGTACAACACACCAAAAACATTTGCACTGCAGTTGGTAAACAATGTTTCTTGCAGTCTTGCAGACTACCCACTTATGCTCTCAATACAACACGGTCAAGGTAATTTAAAACAATATGATTTAACAAAATACATGGACCTAGATCAAGATTAATGGCAAAGAACTCATTAAGCCAACCCAGAGAAACTGAAAAATAAGGATGTTAAAATGTGTGGACTGCAGAGTACTTTAAATTGTAGAAGACTTCCATTTCCTTGCCATGTTCATTGAAATTATAAATGAATCAAAATCTTAACACTTGTATCCATGCATTCACAATATTAAATCAACTGTCAGTTACCAAAGCAAACCAAAGCAATTCAAAAGGCCAAATAAATCGCCGGTCACCTCACATGTAGATATTCGTTAATTCTCATTGACGCTTTGTTCGCCGCCTCAACAAATTCCCTAAAATTAAATCAGAAATTATAAGATTAATAACATTCATAAATACAACAATGTATATCCTCCATATGAAAGAACAACCCATACAATAACAATCACAAATACAACAATGTTTATCCATATGAAAGAACAACCTGTCTGGATGAGTGTGGATACACAGTTCGGCTGAGTCCACAACTGAACAGACCTAAAAAGATCAAAATATCACAATTTAAGCTTGAGACTCAGAAAACAAAAACAATAAATATAATAGAGATAGAGAGAGAGAGAGTCTATAAACCCTAAACATACTGTGTCTGATATCTCATCCATGGCTTGGAGGATTTCTGCAGATGAAGACATCCCAGAAATGTAATTAATGAGCTCACCAGACCTAACAAACGTAAATCATAATATTTAGTAAACAGGAAATCGAATAATTAACCTATAAAACCGTATTTGGTTGCTGAGAAAGCACAGTAAAAAGTTAACATTTTGATCTCATATTTATTTTTGCTTCAATTTTTAAGTTTTCTCAGTTTCCAAACAGTGAAGTAGTATGCGAATATTCAAGATTTTATTTTCTTGTATTTTCCAAGCAACCAAACAGATTGAAACGAGGAGATGGAGTTTACCGCTCGATGGCTTCGTCGACGAAACGTTGAAAGCCTTTGGGAGCTTTCAAGTAGTCGACGCCATAGAGACCGGTGTCTTTGATTTGTGGAGCCGTGGAGGTGTGGAAGCGGTGGGTGCGATAGAGATGGAGGTTGGAGGTGGCTCTGCGCATTAGGGTCGACATGGTTCGCCGATTGTTGACGACTCTGCTGGTTTTGCTGTGAAGTAGAATGAATCAGACTCGGTAGTTGTGGCGGAGGGATGGTGAATACGATGGTGGGCCGAAACATGATGAATGGGTCGTTCATTTTGCCCTATTTATGGTCACACTTTCTATTACTAGGCCCAACCTCGGGACAATAAATAAGTTGCAAAAAGAGAAGCAAGGCTATCCAAAGTGAGAGATATTGGGACTTGGAGCCCTCTAAAATTATTGATATGGAATATTGGAGTTGTGAGAAGTCCAACGAACACACGACTCCAAAGAGTTTAGATAAATTACAAGGTAGTGGAGACCGCAGATAACTTAATAACTCCACAATTTGTGAAGGAAAAAAAAGCGGTCTCGGTAGGACACAGGGGCTGAGCCAATTAAGGCCCTGATGGGACACGTGCCCCTCTCATTTTGCTTCAACCTACTATATATAAATAAATATTTTTGATATATGCATATACTTACATGGTAATTTTAAATAGTGCTTCCTCTCAAATTTTCAAATTCTTCTAATCTCCTTTTTAGAAAAAAAAAAAAGTTACATATATCCCTTCTTCAGGTATACAATATATTTTTCCTTTTCTAATTTTTGTTTCATTTTTCAAAAAAATTTCTTTTTTCACTTATGTATAATTATGTATTTTTGTATTTTTTAAACTTATTTCTTTTATCGATGGCATTTGTGATTGTATTTAATTAAAATATTATTAATTAATATTTTAATTCTCATATTTGTAACTATATTTTTTTCAGTATTTATTTAGCATATTATTTTACAACTATTTTTTTCTTATTTGCCTTTTTGATTTAAAAAAATTATACTTCCTATTTGTCATGTTTATTATTTTTTTTTATTATTATTTTTTTTTAACAAGTACATTTTACCCCCTGAAATAAAATTCTAGCTCCGCCCATGGTAGGATACTATTATGAATTCTACCATAAAAAGGTATCATGGTAGGACATTAGTATGAATTCTCCTATAAAAAGAGTTGTCAGGTCAACCCATTGAGGTATGATATAAATTTTATATGGGTTAAGTGTAAAAATCTCCCCTCTACTATTGATATAGTATAAAAAGGTTTATGTGTGGTATAAAACTTCCCTATACTAATACCCTCACTTCAATTAAATAAATTAAAAACTATAAATACAGGTGATGTAAAATTACCCTTTTGTCCAATTTGTTTAAAATTTTGTTTGTTTGGGACAAAAATAAAATAACCTCAATTAAGAGACTAACAAGAGTAGATGAAGCTTTTTCCCGTTTGGTATAGATATGATAAATTAAGGTTTAATTAGTAAGAAACCGCTTCTCTCTAACAATTTATTATTATTATTTTCATTTTTTGTTGTTTTTTTTCCTTGTATGGTCATTTTTATTTTATTTTTTGTAAAAGTGCTAGAAAAAGTTGTGAATTATGAATTAAGTCATGCTGATTTCTTTCAAATGAATAACATTTTCTATGGAAATAAAATATTGCTTAACATTTTCTATGGGAAGGAGTGGGTTCTTGTCCACTAAGGACTTGGCTGCCTCAGTGTTGCTCGCTATTGCAGCATAATGTAGAGCTGTCCTTCCACGAATACCATCACGTAGAGCCACATCCTCTGGTGACATCAACTCCAAGAGCAGCTTCACAAAATGGTTTTCCCGCGCAGATGATGATCTAACTACTACCATGAGTGCTGTTTCATTATCTATCGTGATCAAGACTCTCTCTACACCTGGTTTTTTTTTAATAAATTTGTTGGTTGTCTCCCAATGCGGCTTCGTGCAGCGACAAGTATTTACTAAGTGGATCTTCTTCTGTTTCTTCATCTGTGACAGTAATAAAAAACACACAAATATATTAATCATAATAGTACAGATCAGAATCACTTCAATTAGTTATTTCCTTCTTGAAATTTGAGAATTTCATGAAGAGTGATACAAAAAATCTCTAATTATTGAGTAGACGTGATACCATTTTCTAACACTATTGAGGGAGGGGGTGTTGTTAAGGAATTGGGTTAGGGGGTTTATATGCACATATGTGAGGGGCAAAATGGAAATCAAAGGATAAAATAAGGTTTTCATATTTAGTTTTTTGTCAAAAAGTGGTCAGAATGACTTATTTGCACTTTTTTTTAATTTTATGGACTAACATACACATTTTCAAAAAGTAGGGACTAGTTTTGCACAAATTCTATATATCAGAGTTTTTTTTGCACTTAACCCATTTTATATTTATTTCTTTATTGAATACACAATTAAGTACTAACTTGATTGTCGGAGTGCATTCGACCAACATTACGCCAGTCATCACTTCTCTTGTATCTTGTGTTGCAGGAAAGACCGGACTCCGAGGCATTGTGTAGTCACCCAGGATTTCTTAAATGCCCTTCTTTATTTGTTGAAAATTTCACTCAATACACCCAATGAAATGAATTAAAGAAAGAAGGAATTAAGATGAACAATCAAACCTTAAAAATTTCCATCTTTCTCTGAAAAAGAAAGACTGTTATCGAGAGAAAGAAGAACTAGTAACCAGATAAAGCAAAAGTATCAAAGAAAATGGGCCTCTCCCTGAAGAGGAACTAACAAAGAATTTAAGAAGATCCAAGCCACCAATTGATAGCAAAATAAAGTTTTAATAGAGGGTGATGAAATGACGGAGCTCAAATACGGAGTCCATATTAAATGATACATACTATACCATATAGATAGGTATGTGTTTTTTATATTTGCATTTTGTGGTATTGAAGTGCATTTAAGAATCACGGCTTCATTTAGATGGCCTTCACCCGTCAGTGGCAAGAACAAGAAATTGGTCTTAACAATCTTGGACGGTAATACTTTCAGAATTAAAAAAGATCAATTCCATTAGCATTTAGGGTTCAAAAAGATCATTGAGATTATTAGATTTTAACCCAGTTGACTCATTAAATACAGGTTTAATTAATTTTTAAATTAAAAACACGTGTTAGTATTTTATTGAATCGGTGTCATTTGGAGGACAACGTTGGTCCCAATAGGGCAAGAACAAGTATTGTCCCAATAGATGATAAAAAAAACATGAACACAAAAATAAAAATTTTGAAATATGTAGTTTGCTACAATGAAATTAAGAAATGTTAAAACATGGCGAGTAGTCTTTACTTCCTTAGAGGTGATATGTATATATTCTCTACCTTCATGTCAATGCACATACTTAGGCATGTTTAGATTGGCTTTTCAAACACTGATTTTGATTTTTGGGCCTAAAAGCTCTTTTAAGTAGTGTTTGACTAGTTTTTCCAAAGGATTTTTAGGTCTTAGAAGAGCATTTTGGAGAAATTGCCATCCCCCAGCTTTCTAAATGACGGGTTAACCTTTTTTTTCTTACTTAATAAAAAGGGTAAAGTATATTAACACCCCCTAAGGTTTGGCACAAGGACACTCAAGTGAAATTTATCTGTTTCTGGGACAATGACACCCCCTTGAAAAAATTATATCCAAACAAGGCCTTAAATCATATGAAAAGACAAAATTACCCCTTAATATTAAATTCATATTTATTACAAAATATCATTACATGTCAAAATGACACAATTGCCCCTCAAAATTTAGCACCACAAATGAGCACCAAGTGGCACCATATTAACAATCCATTGAACTACACCCCAAATACCGCCCCTCCCTCCCCCTCTCTCTCTCTCTCTCTCTCTCTCTGTGCGAATCTTTCATTTCTTCCCTTCTCTTCGTATCACCGTCTACCCTAGTCACCATGATCATTTTGAAACCCTAATTCTGAAGGCTAATTTCACGATCTCATCAAAACCAACCATTATCTTTGTTCCAACCATTATCTTTGTTTTGCTTTGGCCTCCACACATCTCAGATTCTCTCTCAACGCACTTTTCTCTTTATATATATATATATATATATATATATATATATATATATTAATCTATTCTTTTTTTCCTAAATTATATTAATCTATTCGTGTGTATGTATATCTATATATCTTTATTCTGTTTTTGATTTTATTTGTAGGTTTGATGAGAAAATCTTCCATTGAAACTTTGATCTTTCTTGAAATATTTTTGTTAATTTACAAAAAAATATGGGTTTTTTTTTTACAAAAATTTTGTTCCTGATTTTTTTACAAAAATGGTGTTTCCTTTACAAAAAAAATATTGTAAAGAAAATATGGTCTTTTCTTTATGCAGTTTTGGTTTTCTTTATTTTCTTTACTAAAATGGGGTTTCTAAATATGGGTTTTTTGTGTAAATAAATCTTTGTTCGTGTTTCTAAATATGGGATTTTTTTTTTTTTGTAACAAAATCTTTGTTCCTGTTTTCTAAATATAGGAATTTTTTTTTTAACGAAATCTTTGTTCTGTTTTCTAAATATGATTTTTTTTTTTTTTTTTTTTTGTATGTATGTATGTATGTAAAGAAATCTTTGTTCCTGTTTCTTTGATTTACAAGAAAATTTTTCAACAAAAAATATGGGGTTTTATTTATTTATTTATTTATAACCAATTTTTTTTTTTATTTTGAGAAATTATGACAGAATGAAAACAAATGGTTTTTTTTTTTTTTAACAAAAAATTTGTTATTAATTCACACATGCTATAAGATTGCATGTTTCTGACTTTCTGCAACCATAGTGATTGATCTATGAATGGTTGGTTGACACTTGGTTGCTGGATGGTTGGTTGACACTTGAATGTTGGTTATGTAATGATAGATTATGTAAATTTTGGTGTCAAATGTTGGTTATGTAATGACTTGGTACAAGTTTATTATAGATTGTGGGCCGTGGATGGCTACTTTTATGAAGTTAAATGTTGGTTATATAATATGACTGTAACGACAAGTTATGTAATTTTTGGTGCAATGTATTATTCTTCAATTTATTAATTTGTTTTAGTATATATATATATATATATATATAGTCTATACTCTTCATTTGGGGGTCAATGCTGGTACGCATAAATTTTATTCTCCAATCTGTTATATATATATATATATATATATATATATATATTTATTTATTTATTTCATCGGTTTCAAAAGGGCAGTTTTACTTAATTTTGTCTAATTTATTAATTTGTAAAGGTAAAAGGTCAACTAAATAGTCAAAGGGTAATTTGGTCAATTTTTCATGTCGGTTGGCTTCAAGGGGTGTCTTTGTCCACTTTTCAATCTTTAAGGAGTGTCATTGTCCAAAAAATAGGTAACTTTTACCTGAATTTTAAATTCCAAACGTGTCCCCATTAAAGACTTAATAACCTTGGGCAAAACTGGAAGAAGAATTTGGGGGCTCTTTCTCTTCTTTATTATTCAGAACAGGTAACCTTTAGGTGTCGACCCTTTCTTTCTGATCTACGACCACCTTTGCCTTGTCCCCCACCTGTTGAAAAGGGAGGTGACATTTCTAGGGTCTCCAATAACATTAAATTGCGCATAACCCTAAGCAATGATTCATTATTATTTTTGTTTTCGTCCTATTTATCAGATAGATTAGCAATTTAGCATCATATCTTTTTGCTTTTATTTTTATATGACTCGATTTGGTTTTGAAGCTTTGGGTATACCCGTAATATATGTGTGTATATATATATATTTTAATTTACTTGATCAAGGTTTCGGACAAGCATAATTTTATTAAAGAGAAATTATCAAAACACTTAATTTCAAAAAATATTTTGATACCGGCCACTTCCAAGATTACTAGTCGTTTTTAGTTTTCTCCGATGATGGTCACCGGCCACTCGCACAATAATTGTCGTTTTTAATTTTTTTTGATGATGGTGTCTGCACTGTACCGGTTGTAGACGAATAAGGGTGTGAAAAAAAAAAAAAAACTTATCTTTTTTTTTTTTTTTGTTGTGCACCCACAATTGTGTAAAAGCACATTATATTTAATTTCCTTGAATATTTCAATAAAATGTGTTATATATATATATATATATATATACATATATTGATGTTAAAAAAATAAAAGAAATTAATTTAAAAAATTAAATGTGAAAATCATTCATGAGATTCATGGTGTGACAGAATTTGTGAACTTGTATATAACATCACTTATATTTAATTTCCTTCAAATTTATCAAAATACTATATAACAAAGAATTAATAAAAATAATTAAATATGTATTGAGGTTGAAACAAAAAATTAATTTAAAAAATTAAATAATTGACTTTAAGAATGACTTCCTTATGTAAGAAAGCACCGTCATTAGTTGGGATACATTGGAATGCTGAGTATTTTTTACCCTCGTCTCATTGATTCATGCGGTAAAAGTGCTCATTTGATCAATTTTTTTAAAGGCTTTACAAAATTTCTTAAGGTATCTAATGATTTTTGCAATCTCTTAATTATTCTTATTCTTATTCTTATTATATTATTAGAATAAATTACACTCATATCCCTGAGGTTAGGTCATATTTCAGGTAAATAAAGATTTTGGTTTTAGTTTTCACTTACATTTGAATTAGTGGTTTAACATTTCACTTACACCCCAAATGTCAATTTTTTGTGGGATCAGAGTACTTTTAGGTGTTAAATGACTATACTAGCCTTTGACCTTTTGTTGACTATTTTTAAGACCAAACTACCCTAACATACAAAATAATTTACACATAAGCCATCTTCTCTCTCCTCCAATCTCTCTGCACAGAGCCATTAAAAATGAACTACGAATACTACTTCCGTGTAGTCCTCGCAATGGACCTCAACTACAAGGGTATGGTCACCGAGCTATCCACCATCCCTATCTCTCCACCATCTGAGCTCTCTGCCATCGATCCTTCTGAGCACCGCCGCGAGTCATTCACGGACACCTCCGGCGAGTTTGAACCGGCCAGAAAGGACTCAGACGGCACTGCGAAGATAGAAGATGTGGTAGTGCACAGCAGCGATGGTGGATGCCGTTGGGAATTTGGGACTGTTCGGGGGCGATGTACTTCGAATCGGCAAGTACACAGGACGGCGAGGCACAACATGGTTGAAGAGACGTCGGTGATGGCGGTTCGCAATCACGGTTCTGGCAGTGTTAAGGGATGGCGAGCAAGGTCCAATCCTCGGACCAGAGAGGATTCCGGCGAGTGAGCAAGAGGGGACTCGGCGTTAATGGATCTGGCCGACGGTGGTGACAAGGTTGGTTCGCAATGTGATGTCAACGATGGTTGGACCTTGGAAGATTGTTACCTTGGTGGGATTGAAAGGCAGCGTTGCTCTGCAGAGAGGTAGAGGAACGGCGATGGGTAGTGGGTCTAGACGACGGAGTGGGGTGGTGGTGGTGGTGTTGAGAAATTGGGTTTGGGTTGGCAGAAAACTTGATGGGTATTTATTTTAAAAAAAAAAAAAAACAAACAAAACTGGGGATGGCTTTACGATGAGGATGACTAGATGAGTGGTGATTGTGGAAGTTTTGGGTGATTGATGGGTGGAGGAGCAGTGCCGATTTGGTTGAAGGTGGTAGTTGTTATGGGTTTGATATGTTATTTGGTTGCCGATTTGGAATGGGGTGATGGGTGGTGGTGGGGGTTATGGCTGGGTTTGGTATGTTAATCAGTAACAATAGAGGATGTCCTCCTGCCTGAAAAGCAAATTGTTTTGGTCACTGCATAACAATGGTTTGGACGGTTAGGACTGAAATAGTGTATCTATATATACAGAGAGAGAGAGAGAAAGATGGGGGGCTTTTTGTCTTTTAAGATTATATATATTTTATATTAAAAATTTGAGAGTAAAATGGTCAATTAGCAGGTAAAAAGTAAATTGGGGTATAAGTGAAATACTAAACCAATAATTCACATATAAGTGAAAATTAAAACCAAAATCTTCATCTACCTAGAATATGACCCAATCTCAGGGTGTCTTAGTGTAATTTACCCTTATTGTTATGTATGATTTTTTATGAATAAATTTGATTATATAGAAGGGTTTATTTGTACATGTTTAAAAAAAAAATTGGCATAAAACAGCTTAAACAACTTTAGTTTGACAAAACAGTACAAATATATATATATATATACACAGTTTCCAAACGCTAACTAATAAATTAAATAGAAGTAATAATTTATACTTCTATTTTTATTCTGCATAAAAGTACAAACAGAAGCTATGCCAAACAAAGCCTTATAAGTGGGCCAGCTTTTGATTGTCCGGCTCCTACACAAATGTTAATCTTTTTTACAATCAGTTTTAATTACAGTAGTCTCCATTGCCTTCACATTCTAGGCAGAGAGTAGCATACAATTCTATGCTCAACCGCTGTCAAGTTTCTATTGGTATAGATGACCGACTAAACGAACTATAGGATAAGAAAATCATCTCCAGTAAACTGTGCTCCTCCAGTACAACGCCCAACTATAGCATACACGCTACTAGTACTTACCACCCATCTTTAATGTGTTTGTGTTTGTGTTCATGTCCATATCACTAAAAACCCCTAAACCAAAGTCCTCATCACCAAATTCCTGGTAGTTCAACCACCATTCAGAGCTATCCTCTGATGAACACAACCCAAACTCACTAATTTCTTTTCCGGTAGCGACGAACTTCCACAACGCCTCATCTGCAAAAGTGTCCGATAATATGCAACTCATTAATGGTTCTTCAATATCATTGTGAGTGTGTAGTGATTGAGACTCTTCCATAGTCAATTTTTCAGCTGGGTAGCTAAAATTGTCACTAGAAGTGACAATAGCTTTGATTTTGGACGACTTCTGCTGATTAGTATCACGAGAACTTGAGTAATTGTTAGTGTGTGAGGGCATTTCTTGCTCATGGAGTGGTTCATGAGTAACAGGATTAATACCCATTTTAATAAGCTTCTTCTTAATGTGTGTATTCCAATGATTTTTTATCTCGTTGTCCGTTCTTCCGGGCAGTCTTGCCGCAATCTTCGACCACCTAAAAGAAATGAAAGTGCTATGTTATTGAAATAATATACCATATACCACAAAGTGTGTGTGTATATATATTATATTGAACATTTCAATGCTCTTTACATTTCTTGTTACCTCCTAATTTAAGCCTTAGCGTTGTACCTTTTAAAAAGAGGACAGCTAGCTATGATCTATCAGAAGACAAGTCACTAATAATCTAACAAAGTCGAGCACTATCACTATTAAGTATCAACGAAGGTTCGTTTGGTTTTATTGTTCAGGGGAAATTACTGATTTGTCCGCTAAACGACATCATTTTGGTGTATAAGTACATAATTCAGATGGACCCGTGTTAAGACTTTGCACAACCTTTGTATACTAAAAGTCTAGAAGGATATAGTTTTGATGCATATGACCCTCTAAACATAAAAGAATCTTAGTATCTGATTCATATGTATTGACTCATGTGACCACCAAATAGTTAACGTAAACATAAAATAAAATACATCAATAGTTAATGTAAAAATAATATATAATAGTAACTTGTAGAAATTCAACTTTAGTTTATTGCCAATCATTTGGTTTTGGAACAACTTTTTACTAAACATGCAGTTAGGAGTCAGAAAATTGAGTGAGATGAGGCAATAGTGTAATTTTTTAATAATTTTAGTAAAGACACTAGTATAATTTCGAATGTATATATATTAAAAAATAGAGTAAAGTATAGTCACACTCCCTGAGGTTTGGTAAAAGGACACTCATATGAAACTTATCTGTTTTTTGAATAAAGATACTCCCTGAAGGTTCAAAATTAAACAAAGACACCCCTTACATGAGAAATTGACCAAATTAACCTTTGACCGTTTAAGAGACTGTTTTAACTTTACAATTTAATAAATTGGACCAATCTACCATCATGAACAATTTATGCATAAAAAAAAGTAACAAAAAAAAATTATTATTTACTTTATAAATGTCTCCACTTCTAAAAAATGTAAACGATTTTTTAATCAAATACATATATTTCAAATAAATTATATTTTGTTATTACTTCTTTTCTTTTTCTTTTTTATTTTTAAATTAAGATACTTAATTCTTTAATCTAAAAAAATTAAACCAATCTTTTTTTCTTAAAAATAAAAAATATGGTACCAGTATAATTTTATACATCTTAAATTATATATCAAATATTATGCATTTTCTAACATAAAAGGAAAAAAAATAATAATAAAACAAAGGAAAAAAATAATAATAAAATAAAGACATGCATAAAGTTATAGTAGTACCTATTTTCTTTTATATTGAAAAATACATAATATTTGATATATAATTTAAGATGCATAAAGTTATACTAATACCATATTTTTTATTTTTAAGGAAAAGAGATTGATTTAATTTTTTTAGATGAAAGAATTAAACATCTTAATTTAAAAAAAAAAAAAAAAGAAAAGAAGTAATAACAAAATATAATTTATTTGAAATATATGTATTGAATAAAAAAATTATTTTAAACGTCTACATTTTTAAGAAGTTAGGATATTTATAAAATAAATAAAAGTGAACAATATAAAGTTTTTTTATTTTATTTTTATGCATAAATTATTCATTAGGATAAATTGGTCCAATTTATTAAATTGTAAAGTTAAAAAAAGTCTCATAAATGGTCAAAGGGTAATTTGGTTAATTTTTCATGTAAAGGTGTGTCTTTGTCTATTTTTGAACCTTCAGGATGTGTCTTTGTCCTTTTGCCAAACCTCATAAGTGTGCTGTACTTTACCATAAAAAGTATAAATTAACAAGGTATATTACTATAGGGAAAAAAAAAAAAAAATAGAAAAAAAAAAAATTCAGGGGTGGCGATTTGCCCCCATGACTTGTGAATGGCTCCCTCCGTGTAAACATTTGTGACATTCAATCTTTTGGAAAACGAAATCAAGTTATTTTCCATTAGAAAACTAGTACTGTGATCACAGATCATTAAACTTCCATAGAAATATGAAAGAGGATATACCTATTGCCAAGATGAGCATGGAGATCAATCACCAATTTTTCCTCCTCTTCATTAAGGAGGCCTCGCTTCAAGTCCGGCCGGAGATAGTTGGTCCACCGGAGGCGGCAGCTCTTACCACAGCGGCGGAGGCCGGCCAGCTGCGGGACGGCCCGCCAACAACACTGGGCATTGGTGAGCATAAAATCGACAAGTTTCCGGTCTTCCTCAGCCGTCCACGGTCCCTTTTTCACACCCGACTTGTCACAACAAGGCTGCCTTCCCATGATCAGTACTAGTATTTGCTACTGGCTTATTTCAACACCAATGACCACACTACTTGTCCTAGATTTTAAAAAAACACCACTCACCTTCCTATAAATACTAGGAGCGATGATGAGTGACTTGCCTTTATCATGTGTTAGTACAGGAGGAAGTTTTTTAAGTGTCACGCCAGTCCTGAGGCGTGCACGTCACTGTCCAAGCTATGCCTATGTATGCAAGTGACTAGCACACTACCAACTACTAATTAAGTACTTTGTATGATGTATCATTGTATCACATGTATAATACAAAAAAAACAAAAAAGGTTGTGTTTGACACGACTTTACGACAATTGTTAAGTTACCACAATTCTTGGCCCATAGAGATAGAACTTGTATTTGTTTGATTTTTTGTCACCCACTTTTACCTAACCTAATTTGATACCACGTTTTGTTTTTTTTTTTTTATCATACACAAAAAAAACCTCGTGTATATTTGTTCTTGTGGAAACTTGGAGTTTACACAATTAGGGGCATTTCCTTGTATTGGGTGATATTTACACATGCAAGTTTTAACAACTTCTCTTTGCAGACGATGCGAAACGTTACAATCACCACTCTTGGAGTCGAGCATCCTCGCTGGCATTCTTTTCATGGGCTTGTTCACGCTCTCTCGTTTTTAGCTGGGCATCGATTATTATATCATTTATTATGACCCGCTCCAACTCGTAGAGATATTATTTACTTTACACATTTCCCTCTCGTTACTCACTACTTATAGTCTAATAGACAATTGATGTAACACGTCAAATAAACACTCTAAAAATACTAAAATTATTGAAACTGATAACTTAAATAACATTTCTAAACATAAAAAACGAAATATTTATCCTTAATTTTATCGATTCAAATCTTTAATTTTGTACCAAACATTAATCTCATAGACACAACATATATATATATATAAACACACTTGTGTATAGACGAAGTTAAACTAAAAAGGCTAGGCTTGTTGACTATAGAAGCTATGACAAACATTTCTAAATACTAAAATACTAAAATATTAAAATACTCTAAAAATACTAAAATTATTGAAACTGATAACTTAAATAACATTTCTAAACATAAAAAACGAAATATTTATCCTTAATTTTATCGATTCAAATCTTTAATTTTGTACCAAACATTAATCTCATAGACACAACATATATATATATAAACACACTTGTGTATAGACGAAGTTAAACTAAAAAGGCTAGGCTTGTTGACTATAGAAGCTATGACAAAGCATATGTTTTGCGTGTGAGGAGATGGGGGAGGACCACCATGATGAGTCAGTGTTATGAAAGGTGCGTGGGAGCTACCTGGATGGGTGTCCTGTGAGTTTGGCAGGACCTACTGATGGTGATGGTAGAGGATGGGCCACTCTACCTCAATCAACCGACATCTAAAGCCATCCACATCGGCGTTTCCACTTTCCTACACAATTAATCTGGTCCCATTACCACACTTTCATGTCTTTCTTACTCCACCATTTCATCACCTGTTTGTCAGCACCACCCTTCATTTCTCTACTCCTGTTTTCATGGACCAAATCTTCCTCGAATTAACTATCATCCTATGTTCCGTTGTACGGAATTCGGACTTTACATTCGAAATTGAAATTTTAGAATTGAAGAAAAATTATTCAAAAATTTGAATCAAAATTTGTTCCAATTTCAAGACTTTAATTTCAGACACCGGAACGTAACCTTAATTCATTCCATTTACTTAGCAAAGGATGTAACACTGCCGAACTTGTCCCATTGTTACACCATGCCGCACCTTCATGTCTTTCTTACTCCAGCATTTCATCACCTGTAAGTCAGCACCACCCTTGATTTCTACTCTTGTTTTCATGGGTAAATCTTTATCAATTTAACTCTTAGGTTGTGTTATGTTTCATGGAATTGAAGTTTTGAAATTGGTGAAATTGAAAAAAAAAAAATTAGTTTAATTTTGTAGGTTATTTTTCTCTAATTTTACTAATTTAAATTCTGAGATTCCAATTATATGTGATCGAACATAGCCTTAATTCATTTCACTTACCTGACAAAGGAGGTAACATTGCTGAATATGTTTTGTGAATTGACGGGTCTGTGTTAGTTCCTAAATTATTTTCGATTTTGGTTGCATGGCATGATTTTTCTTGATTAGTCCGGACAACATAGTAGTGAACCACCTAACAATCTCTCAAGATAATGGGATTGTGGGCTTCACTATATACGGTGGGGTTTACACCCTTTATTGTTTTTTAAAAAAAGAAGATATTAAGTAAACACACACTCATCACTTGTGAGCGCTGGAGCTCCCATTTGAAAAGAAGAACCTGTACCAATTGGACTGTTGTCTATTTGATTGTAGGGCGCACACCCTTGATGTCTCATAATTAAACTTGGGTTGTGTGGGTCCAATTTTTTTTAATTTTTTTTATTAATGATTGAATTTTCAATGTTCAATTACAATGATGATCTCTTGGTTGGACCCTGGCTGTTGCCATGATTTGGTACCAAATTATTTGGCTAAACAGTGAAACCTATTATTATGGTTTTGCATTATAGGTGGTCCAAAAAGCTATGTTCAAAATTTTCACAGTGAATAACAGTGATGCATAACATCCATGGAGTCTTTGAAATTAGTGAGCATAGATACCACTGCTGCTTTATCTTTTGTTTCTAATGTTATATTTAGGAGCACTGAATTGATGAGTTTAGGTCAAAATTTGTATTGAATTTTTTCCAATCTCAAATTTAATGCGTTGACTCAGTGTCGCCAAACATAACATTACTGTAAAAAAATAAGTTGAAAATTTATTAGAGCGAGGCTTAGATTCTAATCCATTGGAGTTTCATGGTTTAATTGAATTTTTTTTTTTTAAATATTCAAAAAATGGTAGGAATACACGTTTAAAGAAATATTATTATATCATGCATGAGTAGAATCTTAAATGAAAAAGAAAACGTTGCTAGTCAAAATTACACCGCTCAAAATTTATGTCACATGTGGAACATACATATGTATGTCCACATATGACAATATTACATCATGTATGAGTAAGCATTGGTCATAAAACTCTACTCATATAATAAATAAAAAAAAGCTAAATGGAAAAAAGAAAAGAAGAGGACAATCAAATGTAACGTTATAAAGATCTGTTTGGTATGGTGGATTGAATCCTTGACATTCTTGAATTGGCGCAACCTTTTGAGTGTGAAGGCGGCATCATGACTAAACCCATTATTTCATGCAATCCACAACTACCACGTGTGCAAAAATAAGTTTGGGGACCACAAAATTGAACCAAATAAAGTGGTAAAAATATTTTGATATTACCTTAAAAAAGTGAGAAAGATGAAGATGATTTTGAGTCATTGGATTCAAAGTTGAAAAGGAATTATATTATTTTTCTATTTTAGCTTTTGAATTTTAGGCATGATTAGAGGCCAAAGAGAAATATTGTGTAATGATGATGATTATGATGAGTGGGGGAGTCCGCGGGAAAACATTGTTATATTCTATTGGAAGAAGGGAGAGTCGAAAACATGGACAGGGTTTTCAAATACTATATAATTCACGGGTCACTTGCTGGCCATTATAATGTGATGCCTCAACCTCCTTAATACATCATTGCAAGTGACTTGTAGACTTCTCTATTGTATGGATTTGTTGGGATGAACATTATTATTTTTAATTCTAGAATTATAAACATTACATTAAAAAAAAGGGGTAATTAAAATTATAAAACCCATTGTACTATTATAAACAATCCTATAACTCCATGACGTGATTATTTTATCATGTTTCGTGACATAATTGTTAATTAGATTGTAAAATGATAAAATTTACATTACTGTTTATTTTTAATTTAAAAGTTAGAAATTGTTCCAAGGGCATTTTGGTCCACGTCAAGAGTAAGCACTCACGTGCTCCTTTCTTGTTAGTGCCCAAAGGAAAACTAAAGAGAAGAGGATAATTTGATGACTTTTTAAAAAGTCAAGGATACTTGGTACGAGGGTGTTATATATGGATAAATTTCATGATTAAGGAGGGTGAATACTTCTTAAAAAAAATGCTTCTCTTACCAAAACAATTAATCGAAATAAAAAAGAGAAACTACCTTGGTCCTCTAATGTGTGGGATTCATGATGGATTCACGGTTCTACCGCATTAGAGGACGGTGATTGACCGATTACTACGAAACCATGACAATTTTTTTTTTCTAACTCTATTGCATTTTGGTAGTTTATATGGTTATGTCCACATAACTTCGGACATTGTTTTTCCTCATTTTTACAAAAACTTTATTCTCCTTAAAATCTTGACCATTTTTTTTTCTTCTAGATTTGTTGTTCCAAGTTCAAATAGATTTCACTTTGATTTCCTAAAAAAATTATTTATTTTTCAACTACACTTTCAAAACATGTTTTTATCATTTTGGAAACAAGATCATGTGATGGTGAATGGGTTGATAGTTTCATTGCGCAATAGTTACAAAGCCCACTAAAAGAAGTCATTTATGATCCTAGCTAGAACTTGTGTTCACGATTTTTAAAATATTTTTGGAAGAAACAAATATTTTTTTGGTTACATTAACTTTATTATTCAGTTTGTTTTGCCACAAACATAAGTATAGTTGTAGAAAAATGATATTTAAGTGGTTGTGGTTCAACCAAAATTTTAATCCACGCTTTATTTACCTTTGTTTATGTTTCGAGTGTAGTCATGTTCATCACTTAAAACATATTTAAGATAAAACTTATTCGATTAGAATTGTAGGTCAGAATATGTCCCCTCTCCTTTTAAAGCAGACAACATAGAGATTAGAGAGGGGGGAGTATTGTGAACATTATTCGACACGAATATATATATATATTTATTTCCCTCTTTGTCAATTCTCATGATCATCTCTTTACCGTTTACTCATCTTCACCACAAGCTGTTTTGAAAAGTAGAAAGGAGAAGTTACAAGTTACAGCTCTAGAAACTCCCGAACACACACTCTCTCCAACACTGAACAAGACGAACAAAATTCATATATATTTTTGGGATTGGGTTGAGCTCAGGACTAGGGAATGTAGTGAGAATAAATGAGTGATATCCTGTTATATTTTCTACTAATTGGGTTGATTTCAGCCCAACTCAACACACCTGGACGGCCAACCTACTTATAGGTGAGACTAGGGAATGTAGTGAGAATAAACTGAGTGATATCCTGTTATATTTTCTACTAATTGGGTTGATTTCAGCCCACCTCAACCCACCTGGACGGCCAACCTGCTTATAGGTGAGCCCTGTGAGATCATGAGTCCAATCCCCAATGGCTAAATTGTATTGACACTGACTAAGGTTTCAGTCAATGTCACTCAGATGCTGACTAATAACTTTTTTAACAATGACACCCCATATAATTTCAAATGTCATATTTGCCCTTGATTATTTAATTAACAAAATATCAGCCCTGTTAATTGACAAAACTACCCTCATCATTAAGCCTATTTCTCTACACTAATTTCTAACCTTTTTTTTTTTTTTTTTTTGGACATGGATTTTTTTTTTCCCTGTTGTGGTGCGTCTGGGTTGGTCGTGGCTGTTTTTTTTTTAAAAAAATAAAATAAAATTATATTTTGGTGGTGGTGGTGGTGGTTATGATGGTATATAGGTTATCAGGGTGTTTCAAAATTTTATTTTTATTTTTTCTATTGTGGTGGTGGTTTTGGTAACGTTTAAGTGTTTTGGTGGCGTTGTCTTGGTGTGGTGGTGGTTCTGTCTTGGTGTTTGGGATGTAGAAGTATGAGTTGACCATGGTTGTTTTCAATTTTTTTTTTTCTACTTTGGTGTTTGGGTGTGGTGGCGGTGGTTATGGTGATGTACAGTTATCTGAATATTTCAAAATAAATTATTATTTTTTATATTTTTATTTTTATGTTGTGGTAGTGGTTATAATGGTATAAGTATTATTATACATGAGCTATATCTATATGTAGAGACGAACCTATTACCAATTGAGTGGGGTGGGGGTGGGGGGAATTGCCCCCTTGAATTTTTAAATTTTTACCAATATACCATGTTTGTTTTTGTTTTTGTTTTTTTGTTTTTTTTTTTTCTCAATATATACCCCTAAAATATTGCTAATGTCCCTTCTGAAATTATTACAAAATTTCAGTCTTGTCCCCCCTTACCTAAAGTGTTTATATGTATAGAAGAGATGAAGATGTTGGTTTGGTCGTCCAAATTTAGTTATGAGGTTAAATTTATAATTTTATGATTTAAATAGACTTGTTAACAAATTAAAATGGTTAAAAGGTAATTTTATATGATTTTAGAAGTTTGGAGAGGTGTTAATGCATATTTTTAAAACCTTAGGAGTATCGATGTAAAAAAAGTCATTGACCATCGTCTGCTGAGTGACGTTGACTAAAACCTCATAAAATGTCAGTACAATTTACCCATTTATTAATTTGGTACCTATAAGATATGCTAATTTCTAACTAAAGCTGCCGTAGCGTAGTGCTTTTTTCTGTCTTTCAATGCCACTCATTTAAAAAAAACAAGAAAAAAAGAAAAGAAAAAAAAAAGTACTAATATCTAACCAGAATCCATAATTGCATAATTACTCAACATTTGATTTTCATCAAAAAATAAATAAATAAAAATAAAAATAAATTTTCTTAATAAGTATTTCACTCATTTAGAACTTGAACTTTTCATCATATTGTGCTGTGCTATCGTCGATCAAGACTCTGAGTCATGTTTTTTGTAAGTATATTTATTTCTCTATTTTTTTTAGACAACACATAATAAAACAATCAAAGGCTATGTTTGGTATTGTAGAACGAAAAAAAAAGAATAATATTAATTATGAGTGAAAGTAAAGAGAAGGGAATGATAATTTTAAGTATTTGGTTAATTAACAAAAAAAAAAAAGAAGAAGAAAAAAAAAAGATAATGATCATAGGAAAAAGAAAGAAAAGATAAGAAAAGTATTATAGTAAACATATTTATTTCTCTATTTTTCTTTAGACAACACATAATAAAACAATCAAAGGCTATGTTAGGTACTGTGGGAACGAAAAAAAAGGATAATATTAATTATGAGTGAAAGTAAAGAGAAGAGAAGAATAATTTTAACTTCTATGGTATTGGTTAATTAACAAAGAAAAAAAAATATAAAAAAAAGATAACGATCATAGGGGAAAGAAAGAAAAGATAAGAAAAGTATTTTAGTAAATTTATTATACTTTTTTATATTAAAAAAATAATTTTATGGGCCTTAGGCCCATGGATGATGGGCCACCAGAAAAAATATATACTATTTTTAGGGCAAATAATTTCAGCCTCCCCAATCGCCTCCATCTCAAGTATCGTTCTCAACTCTGAACTTTAACTCTCTCTCTCTCTCTCTGCAACTGCAAACTTCAAAATCGACAAGAATCAGAAGTTCAAAACCCATATATTTCAGTTTATCTATCTGTCTGCAAGAATCAAAAATTCAAATCCTATTACCGGCATATCATTTCAGATTGCTCAAAACCCATATATTTCAGATTGTTCCAAAAATCAAAACCCATATCGGCATATCATTTCAGATTGTTCCAAAAATCAAAACCCATATCTTTCAGTTTCCGTCGCCCGCTGTTGTTCCAGTTCGGGTTCGCCGTTCGCAAGCTTCAGCCGCTGTCTCTCAACTCTCAAGCAAGCTCCCCCCCTCTGCAACTGCTAACTTGTATGTATGGGTTTTGTTTTAATTTTTTTGTTTCCACCCTTTTCCATTGCACCAAACTGACCCTAAATGCGCTAGAGTTGCATAAATATCATTCCAAAAAAATAAACTCTAGCTGTCATTTTTTTATTTTATTTGGTTGCCATTGATTTGTCAAACAATGGTCAGAACTTTTTATTCCCATATATGTTTCAAACATTAATTAGAACATTTTAAGATATAAGAGAGTATTAAAAAAAAAATAATAACAATAATAGAAGTATGTAGCAGCATTTAAAAAGTTAACCAAAATAGTCTGCATATGAGAAGTACATTCCACTGTTACTACATACTACCACTATTGAATTATAGCTCCTTAAAAATATTATTATTATTTTTTTTATAGAAAAAACTCCTTTGAGCGGACGATAATATACAGGGACAGAGAGAGAGTTTACCACGAGACAGTTCCACGTGATACAATTTTCCCATTGGATGCTCACTAGGCTGACGGGACAGTAGAGGAGTACACAACCGCGAAAAGGGAATTACTCCACGCCCTCAATTTTTTATAAAGCATATAGTGTTCGACGAAATGTCTGTGTGAAACTGCCAAACCATTAACAAACCAATTTATTTTTTGAAACAGAGAGAGAGGCAGAGATGTGGAGGCGTCTGACTTCATTGTCACAACAGATTTCTTCATCCAAATCGTCCCCTCTTAACCAGGTATGGATCCGATCTCATGCAATCACTTTCTCTTCTTTACGTTGTTTGTTTTCTGTTTGATTGTGATTTAAGACTTCAAATCCAAGTCTCATTTGAACACTTTACGAAACCTCTCGTAGTCTCCTTTACGCAACTTTAATCGCCAAATTACTTTTCTTAGACGAATTGATAATATTTCTCTGTTTGGTTGCCGAGAAAATGAGGGAGAAGAAAAGGAGTATTTTGCATCTTAAATTTTTCTTTGATTTAGGACCCATCCCCAGCGACCTTAATAGCTGCTGGTTCGCCTGTGAAGCTTTTGATTGCCACCTCTAAATCGGAATGAGAAGGAATAGGTCTGAGCCACTTGATGGAAGGGAATGGCACTCTCGGAATGCTTGAAAAAGCGGATATAGTCAAAAAGGAATTTCAATTGATTATATAATTTACACGCCGAACCAAACCATCATGCAACGTAAATTATTCTCTTAATATAAGGGTAGATAAATTAGTTTTTCAATTTCTTTTTAATAGGTAGAATCCGATATGGAAAACGGAAAATGCAATAAACTTTAGCATATAATGAAGCTCATATAATCATATATGTACGTGTCTGGAGGATGGGTGGGAAACTTGTGCATTTCTAGTGCCTTATCAAATTTGGTAGCCTTTAGAGAAATTAACATTCAAATCAATGAATTTTGGTCACCGCGATCAATAAAGTTTGCCTTTCACTGTTCCTGGAATTTGATTAATTCAAAGTCATCTTCATCCTTGCCTGTCCCATACGGCTGGGTTTGCCACACACTACAAAAAAAATGGCCTTTTACCACGGGCAAAAAAGCATTATACCATGGTTTTCGCCCGTAGTAGTTTGTAGTAGTTTCCCTGTAGTCTTTTCTGAATGGATTTCTACTACGGTCCATACCCGTAGTAGAAAGTTACTTTTATACTACGGCCATGACCCACAGTAGAAAGTACCTTTTATACTACAGGCTTGACCCGGGTATTGCCCGTAGTAGAAAGTTCATTTTATACCACGGGCATGGCTCGAGTATTGCCCGTAGTAGAAAGTCCGTTTGATACCACGGGCATTGCCCGTGGTAGAAAGTTAATTTTGTACCACAGGAACCGCCCGTAGTAGAAAGGTCCTTTTATTACTATGGTTTGTGCCCGTAGTTGAATATAGTATAAAATATTTATAATACCACGGTTCAAGCCCGTGGTAAAATTAATGTGATAGTTTCTACCTCACATTAAGCCCATGGTATAAAGTGTGTGTGTATATATATATATATATTAAATGGGTAACCTGTCATCCAACAACATATATCACTCATATCCTGCTCCACATACACAACCAAATTGCAGCCAAAGGCATATATATACAACAATCACCTAAAATTAATCCCAAACAGTCATTAAATAATTTGAAGTACAAAGTCTCCATCATTGTTAAAAAAAGAACAACAATCACCAAAAATTAATCCAAAACATTCATTGAATAATTTGGAGTATAAAGTCTCCATCGTTGTTAAAAAAAAGAAAACCAAGTGCTAACAAAAGATTGCAAAAAGAAGTAGCACCGCCAAGCTTGCCCAACCATCTTCATTCACTGTACAACGCGTAGAAAGAAACTAAATCCAGCCGTTACATTTTTCCCTATCACATAAAAAAGTAACCTCTTAGAAAATAACAAATGTGCAACTCGTATATTCAAATAGAACCACAAAGAAAAGTGCAGGTATGCAACTTCTCAACTACAACAGAAACATTTTTAAAAAAATCATACAATTTAATGATTTGCTCAAGCAACAATATCACCACAAAGTACAGTGCACAATTCTCACAAGTTTGATTTGGATAGACATGGTATAGCCTATCTTTCTTTTTGTAATTTTTATTGAATCTGTAATACCACAACCACATCTCCTCTCCCTGAACCTCAATTTATGTACGTTGCTCCATGACTTATGCTTGAGTGATACATTTCCAGACAGATAACATGTTTAACAACTAAAAATAAAAATTAAGTCATGTTTTATTGTCCACCACTGTTCCCTTTCTTGATAGAATTTTGATTCAAGTAGGTCAGGGTGAAGTGCTCATAATCTGATTTTTGCAAAGTTTCATCATCAATTTCCTAGCACTTCTATCGAACAATTTCTAAACCTAGCACTTGAGTTTCAGTCTGCACTTGTCAAAAACACCACCTCATTTTTCATGGTACAAAATCCAAGCAATTATCTAGATGCATCACACAAGTCTCAAATTCAGTATGCTACTAACAAAATGGAAAGAACAAGATTGTCATTTATGAATCAAATAGAAATTATTATCACCCACAAACAAGAAAACGACCTAAATCACTGGCTTTTCACATGACCCATCATATAGATTCCAATATCGTAGCACTTCTCCAACTGAGGGATCAGTTCTTCAGTGTGTAGTATTTCTTGATTGAGATAGTGGAATTCATCTCTTAAATTTAGTGTCGTCTTATAATTCATTTGTGACAGGTTTATCAGGCTATGCTTAATTGACCACAAGATAATAAGTGATGCACTATGAAAGATTGCATTTACACAAGCTACTGAAATATTCATCTTGAGAGTTCTGAGACTAGCCATATTCTGTTAGTTTCTTCATAAATTCTTGTATGAGTCAAACCAATGTTCAAAAGAAAACAAAAGACAGAGAAGTAAATCAAAGATGTTCAATTCTATGAGCTGAATAAACAATTAATCCCTAAACCTGAAACCTCAGTCAATACACAGCCCAGTTCTAAGCATTCACAAATTTGTAATCAAATTTTTAAAAAAAAAAAAAAAAAACTATTATTCTTCATTCATTCCAGAGAAAGAGTAGGAAAATCAAAAGGACTTAATATTTGCATTCTCTTTGTGGCACTAGAAAACAAAATTCTCCATTTTTCTGAAATCAATTCAATTACATGGCTTTAAGATGATGATTTATCCAAACAATATCCATACAGCAGAGAAACACAAAACATGGGCCCATATTTTTGTTCCAAATTAGCTTTCTTTTCCAACATTTTCTTGATAATCAAATGGAAAATCAAGCCAAAAAAAATCCAATGCAGCTACATTTATTTATTTATTTATTTTATCTGTGAATGCATTGCACTACAACCAGCCACGCACACAAGTTCATACATAGGCATTGCATTCTCTTTGTGGCACTAGAAAACAAAATTCTTCATTTTTCTGAACTCAATTCAATTACATGGCTTTAAGATGATGATTTATCCAAACAATATCCATACAGCAGAGAAACACAAAACATGGGCCCATATTTTTGTTCCAAATTAGCTTTCTTTTCCAACATTTTCTCGATAATCAAATGGAAAATCAAGCCAAAAAAAATCCAATGCAGCTACATTTATTTATTTTATATGTGAATGCATTGCACTACACCCAGCCACGCACACAAGTTCATACATAGGCACATCACACACTTTGCAAGGGAAAACAATCTTCAACTTTTTATACATAGAATGCATTGCCATGGTGATAATGGAAAAGAAGAAGTAGAGTATCTGACCTTTGTTGTAGACTAGAACAATTAAGATTCTAATCCTTCTCCTCCTAATGAACTGGTGATAATGGATCCTGTCAGAAAAATTATTTTACAAATGTAATGTCAACAAAAATATAAAAAATCATATCATATGTTAATGGCTACTTTTCGGAAAAAATCAAATCATTTTCTATCTTCTTTAGTTGCAGCACAAATAAATATAATAAAATGTCCTTAATATATAAATTGCTATGTTGCAGCTCTTTGCAGATAGGAAAAAAGTGGCAAACCGTTCACTTTAGCCAATAGGAAGAAAAAGAAAAAGAAAAACAATTACACACTACAATTTGTTTGTACACAAGACTAGATTCAGAATTTAGTTAAAAATTCTACTTTTTGAAGAACTTCTAGCTACTAAATCCAATTTGTCCAAGGAAATCATTTCCCTCTCTAAAGTAGACCTTCTAGTTACTTTCCGAAATAGAGTTATTTGAATTCAGTTTGGTGTACAAAGTAATATATTCCTCGCATGGGACTAATCTGAATGCCTGGATTGTCAAGAAATGCTAGTTGGAGACAAAGGTGGGGAGTCCAATGGTGAAGCATAAGCTAAGAAAGAAAGAAAATAAGAGAAAATTTGAAAAATCTTCCAATCATTTGACAATCTTAGATGTTATATCTTTGTTTTAGCGTTATGACCTTATTTTTAATTTTTATTTTGAGAAAGTAATTAAAGCAAGCACACACACCCATTATCTTATTAATTCTCACACCAAAAATAGACTTCTGTGTCTTCCTAATAGGAGAGTGTTCATTGAATTCCGAGGATCGTGAGCAGCCGAGAGGGGCAAGTGAGTGGCTAAGATTAGAGAACCCAACATCTAGAAAAGAAAACTAAGACAACTGTTTAAAATTTACTGAAAAAATAGTAGATTTTACAAAAGTAATAGTACCAACTTACCCATTTCATCAAACACCCATTATGCAAATCAACTAATTTTTCCTTTAACATAGTCAATCGTCAAATGCCCAAGTATATTTGACCTGAAACTCAAAATAGAACCAATGAATAATACTGTTATTAGAAACCAAACTAACAAATAAACAATAAATAATGTACAAAATTGTTAAATTAAAACATTATATTTCCAGACTCCCATTTCACTAGAAAGAAAACATAGGAAAGAGAGATAGAATTTGTTGTCCATAGAGATAAATGGATTTCTAAAGAACATATATACCTCTTGCCATCTGAAATTGTTGTAAAAATCACCAGCAGTGTTGTCGGCGCCTACACCGGCACATGTACTTTTTCCATCGCCCCGCTGACCTCAGTAACAACTAAAACAAATCTTATTCACCCTTCAGTTACCAATGTCAAAAAGAAACTAACTCCGTTGCTTTATTTAGCATTTTCCTATTCCAAAAATAATATAAGTAAGAGTTAGGCTGAATTGAAGTCTTTTGAAGACTTTGCCCTGAAAATAATTATCTGGATTATATGACAATCCACAATTATCTTCAAAATATTCTTTATAGACCATTTAAGAGAATACTTGTATCATTTTTATTTGAAACTCCACATTATAAATACAGAATCTATTACTTGAGCTGCAGCTCCAGCTTATGTTCCTCCTCTTCCCTTAAGTAGGAGATTATGAAATTGTAAGTTTGATATCAACACAAAGGTAAAGCACAAGTAGGTTCAACATCCATAAGGGGAGTTGTCTATAGCTTGTTGCGTTGGTTGACATCTGATCACACCAATTTACAACAGGTAGAAAATTTTTGCATCCAACTCTATGGAGTAAATTGAAGAGCATGTTGTATATATAGTCACATGTCCCAAGTCTAATCAGAGTTCAAGCTTCAAATTCTTATTTAAACTTACTCCTTATGGTAGACAAGAGTAGTATTCCAACAAATGAAATCAAGATATGCTTCATTCAATTATACAAACAAAAGGATGAATAATTAAGAAATGAGATAAACTGAATGATGGCTATAGGGCTTCTGCAGACAGATTTATGTATTGGTCTCTGGAAAAAAATGGTTAATTTGAGCTTGATTTCAAATTAAGTATTAACTTGAAGCATACATTAAGGAAGCTTAGAGAGACCTTAGTGAACATAGCCTTTAGACTGAATTTGGATAAATTATTAGTTGCATGGACTTCCCTGGACCTAGGTAATATATCACAAGTAATTTTACTTAATACTAAGTTTTTATATTGTAGAACTTTTAATAGGATAAAGATGAAAAACTCTAGTTGGATTTGGAACAACAAGAAATCGGTCTCCGTAGCATGAAGGATCGAATAATACCGAATCGCAGAGAGGGAGCAATGATCAACCCATTCCAGTAAGAGACCATGACTTTATAAAAGTTGTGACAGCTTACAGCCAATGAATAAAAAAGCAAGAATTAACAAAAGGCAAATCACATGAAGACAAATTTGGTGATCCACAGCTACTAGACAAATTCAGTAAATTATAAGACAATTCAATGAAAACCCTAACCCCAATTTCATAAGAGAAATCACAGACTAACTCCAATTTCATAAATACATCAGGAAAATTGAAAACCCTAACCTATTCTTTAACTCCTCTGCCCAGCACTAAACTCAAAATTGTATTCGATGAATCCCGATTCCTCAAATGAAACAATCACGAATCAATTCACATTGATAAACAAACACATAGATATAAATACATATGCACACAAACATATTTGCATAAAAATGCATAGATATAGAGAAAAACTTGTGAAAAAGTTTAGAATGCTAGCCCCAGAGATAGATGGAGATTGGGGCTTATTGATGATGAAAATCAGAGAGAAAGGGTTAAATAGAATGATGAAAATCACAGGCGACTATAACAAGGCACCTTCGTTCATACTCGCTCGATGGTAGAACTCAATCAACTTCAATTTCTGAACTCGCTCGCTGAGTCGCTGCGCGTTGGTCTTCGTCGCTCCTCTACTGCTACACAGAAATGTGTATCGCTGATCTGTCCTTTGAGATTATTTTTATTTTTATTTTTTATTTTTTTCCATATATATTTTTAAAGTGTAACTTTAAATGTGCCTAAATCAGTTTGGCATGGAAGTGAAAAATTTTGGGGAGAAGTTTTATAGCTTATTCATGGGACAAAAAATCCCTCAAAAAATATCCCTTAAATGAATAATTTGGGTGTAAATAGTCACGAGGGCTTCTGAACCTTGTAAAAATGTTTTTCCACGAGGATTCCACTATATCCTCGTGAAAGTAGGATAAAGCAAAACAAAAAAATCCCGCCACTTTTCTTGTAGTGATAATTTTAGCGGGTAACTTTGGAGTTGAAATTTTTTCACTTTCTACAATGGGCTTGGCCCGTAGTAGATATATAAGGTTCTATCACGGGCCTAATTCGTAGTAGAAAGTTTCCTTTCTACTACGGGTCTGTATACCCTGTGGTAGAATTAGCTTTCTACCATGGGCTATACGGGCCCGTAGTGGAAAGGGAACTTTTAACTACGGGCTTTTTGGACCCGTGGTAGAAAGTGACTTCTACCACGGGCTATGCAGGCCCGTAGTAAAAAGCCCATGGTTAATAACCACTTTTCTTGTAGTGACATGACTTCTCTTTTTCTATTCTTTCCTACTATACACTGGTGTCTTTTCTTAAATTTATTTTTTGAAATTCATTTTTAATTGCTTCATCCCATGTAAGCTTTGGTTGGCCTCTTTGTTGCATACCTTCTAGGTAAACTACTCTTCCTTTTGATTGGTCTATGGTAAAGCCTTGCTGATTGTTCATTATCATAAACCGACACCTTAAGTGCATGCTATTAATGAAATTCTAATTCTTAGGTATTGGTTAAATTCATGCAGGAATACTGTGTATTATTTCTTTCTAATTTCTGATCTTATCGGAGAGTCTCGCTACAGTACCTATAGTTATGTGTCCTGACACTTCTTCATGCAGTTCCTAATCTCCATGTCCATAAAAATGCAACAATGCCATTAAAATATGGTTTACTTACGAGTTCTCAACCAGTTTATAACATAAATGAGAATGAGAAGAAGTAGATGATCGACCTTCAATCTGGCTTCTTGCTGATGGTGCATGGTTTTATAATGTATAAAAAGTAATTGCAACCAAGTTCTAGTTTTAATGGTACACTCAAATTTGGAGAGAAAAGGGATCCATGGAAGATATTTGTGGTATTCTGACACACATTTTATATTATTGTTTGTCTTTTTTAAGGCTATAGACATTAAAGGGCAAACTATACTCATTATTTAATTTTTATCTGTTACTGATGCAGACATTCTATGGATTGAATATTGGAAAAGTATACAGTACAGAAATACTGAAACCGGTATGTAGATGCTTCTTGTTATTCTCCTAGAAGTTAAGTGATGAAAATCCCTTGTTACATTCAAGGTAATGCGGCAGAGTATTCCAATCATGACATTGTTTGTACATATCTACTTTGCCAGCAAATTTGACTCCCTTTGCTAAATCTTCTGGAAGTAATAGTGGCCTGTTAAGAAATGTTCATTTATTGCGTATCGTGCGTGTAATGTTTCCTTTGAGTCTCTGACACAGTTTTCACAAGACAACCCTATTTATACTTATCTCAAATTAACTGTGACCCTACTTTAACTATTTGGACTTGTCTATTATTAGATTCACCATTCTGCTTTATACAGGATTACATGTTGAATCATAGGTCATGGGTGAGTTCTCTCGCAGCCTTAGACAAACATTTTATTGGCCTTTTCATTGTCCTTGTTGTCAACTTAAACCACTTCAATCATTGTTGTTCCATTAACTGGTTCCTTATTGCCATTTAACTTTTTAAAAGTAATGATTTAGGACCTTTTTTGTATACAAGTTTCGTGTTTAAGACCATGTCTTATTATATTGTTCAGGCGTATAATTCATTCAGTTCCTGCTGTTTTCCAGATTTTGTATTGAAGTAATGGCTTAGCTAGGTCTCTTTGAATCATATTTGAGCCATTGTTCAAACTTCAAACCAAACCCACCCCATATTAATATGAATTCTCTAACTTGTTGTGCACATTATTTCATATCACTTTCTCATTTGATGGTTATTCTAGGTTGCAATGTGTTATTTATGGCTAGTTCCCAGTGTTGCCTGCCCTTGTTTTGCAAGGTTCAGGTGAATTATTTATATTAAGTTTATTTTTGGCTGCAGGCAAAAGGTGTAGTCTCCCCTAAAGAGAGAACCCCATATATAACTTTTGTCTTGGGTAATAACCTTGCTTAAGTGATCTTTAGTAATTGTGCTACGTTTATGGTTGTTTTATTGACTTTTGGTTTAGATTATACTGTTGATATATCATTTTTATTGTCTTAAAATATCATATGCAAAAACAAAGCGTGTAAGAACCTACCCCACCCGAGCCACCTTCTACTCTCCTACTTTACAGTTACTGATTGAGCAGTGCCTAAAAATTTGATAATGCAAGATTCATATATTGTTTATTTTTTTGCTTGTATGGTCACTCACTCGTCGTCATTTAGGCATATCTTGTGCTTATTTTATTTTATTTTATTATTTTATCTTTCATACAAAACAAATGCAGAACTACAGTAACATATTTTTAGGTTTGGTCTGTTTTTGGCTAAACACACACTTTTTCACAAATAAACTGTCCAAGACTACTTATTATAGATGTTATTTCACGATAACTCTGATGGAGAAAGTACCAATTCAAATTTAATTGAGTAAAAATTGATATATTATTACAAAAAAAAAAAAAAAAAGTATTTAAATGCGTAGTACATGTCTACGTACCCATGTCCAACTTTTTGTCACATATTCCCATATCCTAAGATTTGGGTTTGCGGAGGTCCGGCATGTAGACACACGTGCATTTGATACACGTACCCAAGTCCAGGTAATAAAGCTTTTATGTACTATGTTATCCTTTCCAAAAAATTCCTTCCATTTGATTAGGAACAAATGTATGCACCTAAATTATGCATAATGATGACTCTGTAAAAGGTCTGTCATAATTATTTCTTGCAAGTTGCAATAATACTACTATTATGCTTATTAATTATGTCCTATGCTTTCAGGAGGCCCCGGCAGTGGCAAGGGTACACAATGTGCAAAGCTTGTTGAGAATTTTGGTTTTACACATTTAAGTGCTGGAGATCTTTTAAGGAAGGAGATATCTTCTAACAGTGAGAATGGGTAACTATGAAATATTCTGCAAGGAAAAATTGTTTGATGTTTTTCTGATGATTTTAAATGTTATTTCAGCACCATGATTCTCAACACGATAAAAGATGGAAAAATTGTTCCTTCAGAAGTGACGGTCAAACTGATCCAAAGGGCAATTGAATCAAGTAAAAATGATAAATTCCTCATTGATGGTTTTCCACGAAGTGAAGAGAACCGCATTAAATATGAAAGTATTGTGAGTCTTTCTCATTTTCCGTGACATGGTTTATGGAAACCAGGTTTCCTTATGCTGTTCTTCTCTGTTATGTTTAAAAGTAGTATTTAATGGGATATTCATTATACTGCATATTAGTTTCAAACATGATTTCAGTGAACCATGGTCCATGGGTGTCAGGAGCGGGAGGGAATAAGGGATTGGAAAGGTGTCTTTCCATGGTGCAGGAGATGGGAAAGGGGAAGGGAAAGGAAGCTCCTTTCTAATTTCTACCCTTGTAAAATACCCTTTTTTAGTATATAAGGAATAAGGATACAATGGTAAAATCATGTAATACCCATTCTCTTCCTTCTGTTTTAACCAAACAAAAGCAGTGAAGGCCTCCCTTCCCTAGGGATACCTCTTCCATCCTTCCACCTCCCATTCCTTCCAATTATTATTCTGTATAAAATTGATATAAAGTTTTGTAAAACCGTTGCAAGGACTAAGGGTCCCATTATTATAATGAGATATAGCAGCAACAGTTCTACTATTAATCCAAATAATTTGCAATAGTAGCTTTATTGTACTGCTTCTACAAAGTAATACTTGATGGTTTCTATTGAAGATAGGAGCAGAACCAAACAATGTGCTTTTCTTTGATTGCCCTGAAGAGGAGATGGTGAAACGAGTGCTAAGTCGTAATCAGGTGTTTTATTCATAATTTTTATAAATAATCATAGCACTAGAAGAACCTTTTTTTCCCCCGGGCATAAAGTGTAATGTTCTTTTGACTTAGGGGCGAGTGGATGATAATATTGAGACAATCAAGAAACGTCTCAAAGTGTTTACAACTTTGAATGTTCCTGTTATCAACTACTACTCTGCGAAAGGGAAGCTTTATACGGTATTCATTCACTTAGCCTTGAACTACGATTATCATCCTGTTAATGAGAATTATTTTTGTGTCTTGTTACTATTACATAGTTCAAAGGTTGAATTATAGTACTGTTGATTCTTTATTTAATTTTTTGTGGGTGTGTTTGATATGAATGTTTGTAGTTTTGTAGGAACATTATTGACCTTAATTACAGATGTTTGATAACTTTTTTTTAAGCACTTCTAATACACTTTTATATATTGTTTGCTCTTTTATTCTGTTGATATCAATTCAGTTCCATTTGAGGTTTCTTTGTTCTCGCATTTTCTAAAAAAAATATGTGTTTTGATGACTGTAAACTGCTAATGGAAATTAATGCTTGCAGATCAATGCTGTGGGAACAACAGATGAGATTTTTGAACAAGTTCGCCCAATTTTTGCTTCATATGAGCCTATGAGGTATGTTTTCTGGTAAATAAGTTTACTGTTGTGGCTGTGTTTTTCAGTTTATATTATCGTCAGATATGCAAATATATTTGTTTTTATAGTCAATGACACCAACTTATAGATTAAACATACCACAGTTTTCATGTTTCTTTCTGATCGAGTCAATCTTGTTTATCTTTGCATTAGATCTGGGTGCACCAGACGCTGCCTTCTTGGCATATGGTTAAGACTTTGTAATCTCCATCCCTAGCTATATTCGCACTGATTGTGCTGTTTACTTATTCAAACCTAGTGCCATTAGAAACTCATACATCTCAATACATGTTTTCGCTTTTCACTCAATCATTCCTCTTAATAGTTCAAACTTCTCAGACAGGATTTCTTCTTTATATTAGATCAATCTGATAAATTATTTATTCTTCTGTCAAAATCAGTAAAAATTGTATCAAGTATATTGCCAATATCAAGTCATGAATTGTCTATATATATTAGCCAAATGGTAATAACCTCCTAGGGGGCTCATTTGCACTATAGTATAACAAAACTTTTACATATAATACCCTGGGGAAAAAGAAGAAGAAGAAACTTAGATACAATTCATGAGGAATATAAAATTCCCCACTGGATGTTCATTTTTCTCTCTCTTTTTTATTTTATTTTTTTATTTTTATTATTTATTTATTTATATATTTTTTTTATTTATGTATTTTAAATAAAAATTGAAATGTTATTTGTTCAGGTCTTGAGTATATTAACAATATAAACTTGAAAGGAAACATTGATCTCAAATTTATCTGTTTATGTGAATTGAACAAATCAACTGCTTGCAAACAAGTGTGACAGCATAAAGTTTTTTCGTTTTTATATTTCAGTTCCTTAAAGATTAAAGTATAGCTGGGTTCTCATTCCCACGTCTCTATGGTTTTACTCCTGAAATGATTGCTTTCATTCAATGGGAAGGGAGTTCATTGGGCTAAAAGTGTTCATTCCTTTTGTAGGTGTATTTTTTATTTAATTTTTTATATAAAGTTCGGTATTTGGGAAAAAAAGGTGTTGTTGAGTTGAGTTGTATATATATAAAGTTTGGCAAATGGAATTGACTCTTTATAGCATAACTACAACCTCCTCCTTATTCTTCTTCTTTTTTGTTTTAATTTTTTATTTATTTATAAAAGTAACTAATTAAAACCATTCCTATTGATGTTGTTTGGCAGGGGGTGATTATTTGAAATTAAGCTCAATGAGTTGAGGATAAGAAAAAGGCTCTGTAGTATTCGGGTTCTGGCTTGCAATATCATGCTACTCATGTTGGTTTCTGCAATGCTGATTATAGGTTAATCAGTTTTTCCTCAAGAAATCCAACGATGCATGAAATCACCTACTAGTCTATTGTGTAACAGATTTTATATTTTTTAAACCCCCATCTTTTTCCCATTCTGCATTAACAGTTGACGGTCAATGTATGTAACCTAAGTTGTAATGAAAATCATGCCTCACTTGGCTCCATTGCCTATCTGTAAAGCCTTAAAAAAAAAGGCAAAAATACTATTTGATATTTTCACCAATAGTACCTAGGTGTAATCTCCTTACAACATGCATACGAGGGAACATTTCCAGAGGCTATGTTCAGACATTAGATGCCATTGAGAAAGAAATTTGATTTCATTTCATTTGTGTGGTTGCCTAACATCTTGGTTATTTTAAATATATATATATATTTTTTGTTTCATGGAATGCGTGGCAAATAAAAGGAAAAAGAGAAGGTTAATAATAACTGTATGTATGTGTCACATGAGCATCACAATCTTAGTAAGGCCACAAGTTGTTGTCAATAGTTCAATTCGGGTATTGACTTCGCCAATAATATCTACATCTTCCATCCCAAAATAGAGAGCTTTGGTCTCAAATTGTGAGTTACAGTCCTTAAAGCAATTACTATTTTGGGACGAAAGGAGTAGATAAGGACTACTAAGCTGTATGGTTGTAGCCGGTTTACCCCCTTGTACCACTTTGGTGTAGGCAGAAGCAACCTTATATTAATGTACTCAGCTTTTTGTTTTTTTGATTTTTTGGTCCTGTGATATGTATAGTTCTTTCATTTCTTCGCATCACTCAATTGATTATCTGCTGGGCATCCACCCAGCACAAATGCAAGGCTTGCGACTGGAAACTTCGCGCGCGATTCCAACCTAGAGAACGATACTGTCAGGAGTTCTGGGCGGCGGCCTGGTGTCTGGCGAACCATTTTCTCATTCCTTCAACACAAGAAAAGCTTCCATTCTTGAACGTAAAGCAACAAACCATTTTCTTTCTTCTTATAAAATGGACATCACATTGCAATCTCCAAACTTCCACACCATCTCTTCGTCCACTCTATACTCTTCTCTCAAGAGCAAAACTACTAATAAACAAAAAAAACAAAAACAAAGTCATCCAAATCAGAAAAACAAACTCTCATTCCCAAAATCATCTCCAACCCCACTGTTGATCAACCAAAAACCCTACCCCAAAACAAAACTCCAAGCCCTTGATGCTGTCGTCGACGACCTCGAGTCATCCATCGACAATGGCATTGAAGTAGAGACCCATATATTTGCTTCTCTTCTTGAGACATGCTTTCGCTTGCAAGCCATAGACCATGGTATACGAATTCACCGCCTAATACCCAAAAACTTGTTACGCAAAAACGTTGGCCTCTCATCAAAGCTACTCAGGTTGTACGCTTCGTGTGGGCACATCGAAGATGCTCACCAGGTGTTTGATGAAATGGCTAAACGAAAAACATCGGCTTTTCCGTGGAATTCGCTCATCTCAGGGTATGCTGAATTGGGTCTGTATGAAGATGCATTGGCGCTTTACTTCCAAATGGTGGAAGATGGCGTTGAACCTGACCAGTTCACTTTTCCTCGTGTGTTGAAGGCTTGCAGTAGACTTGGGTCTATTCGAATTGGCGAGGAAGTTCATCGTCATGTAGTTCGTTATGACTTTTGGGATGATGGGTTTGTCCTCAATGCGCTTGTAGATATGTATGCCAAGTGTGGTGATGTTGTGAAGGCTCGAAAGGTCTTCGACAAGATTGGAGATAAGGACTTGGTTTCATGGAATTCGATGCTTACAGGTTATATTCATCATGGTGTTCAAGTGGAGGCACTGAACATCTTTCGTCGGATGCTACATGGTGGTCATGAGCCTGACTCGGTTGCCATTTCCGCGATTCTCAGTGGTGTGTCGTCGCTGAAACTTGGAACTCAAGTTCATGGATGGGTTATTCGGCATGGAATGGAATGGAATTTATCTATTGCGAATTCTTTGATTGTTGTGTACTCTCATCAGGGCAACTTGGAGCGAGCGTGCTGGGTGTTTGATGAAATGCCTGAAAGGGATGTCGTGTCCTGGAATTCAATAATTTCAGCTCACTGTAAGGATCCGAAAGCTCTCATTTACTTCCAGCAAATGGAAAGTGCCGGTGTGTTGCCAGACAACATCACATTTGTGTCATTGTTATCGGCATGTGCTCATTTGGGCTTGGTGGAGGACGGTGAGCGGATATTTTCAATTATGATAGAGACGTATGGGATGAGTCCGATCATGGAACACTATGCTTGTATGGTGAATCTTTATGGAAGGGCTGGATTCGTTGACAAGGCTTACGACATTGTGAGGAAGAGAATGGAGTTTGAGGCCGGTCCAACCGTGTGGGGAGCGTTGCTCTATGGTTGCTATCTTCATGGCAATGTGGACATAGGAGAGATTGCTGCCGAAAGTCTTTTTGACTTGGAGTCCGATAATGAGCATAACTTTGAGCTTTTGATGAAGATTTATGGCAACGCGGGAAGATTGGAGGATGTAGAGAGAGTGAGAATAATGATGGTAGAGAGAGGGTTAGACTGAAACACACAACTATGGTTTAAAACCCTCAAACCAAATTATGACAATGTGAATTTTTTAATTAATTTAAGGAGAATGTAAGGGGTTGTGCTAGCCAAACAATTGTAATATGTTATGGAGCAGGATCTACATGTTGAATTGGACCTGCATCTCAGAAAACCATTGATCCAAGTGAAATTGGTTGTCGCTCAAGTAAGTCATTTGTATATTTAAGGAAATTAATTATTTAAAACTATTCTTGTAACTGGGATATATGTGAGAAAATCAATGTCAAAAAGAATTTTTTATAATTATTCAATATAAGAAAAGATCATAGTGTTATTCAAATTCTTGTGTACTTTTCTCTTTTGTAGTGTACAATTTATCCATCTTTATTGGATAGAAGAAAATTTGTTTTACTTGTTCGCTTGTTGTTGCGACATTATTACCTTTCGGTTGACCATTGAAAGGTGGCATGCAACTAAATGTTATTATTTTGTGTCATCTTTTTATTGGCCGGGACTACATGTTATAAATTCTCCTTGTTCTCTCCCTCTCTTTATATATGTATATATATATATAAACAATACATGATGTATATGGGGTTCACTGAAGCTTAGTACTTGTAGTCAGTCTTTGATTCACAAGTGATGAAGCTACTAATTACAAATAAATATTAATTCATAATAAATTGTAGATGGTCCAAGTTCGTCTCTCCAAGGTAAATAATGGACCCATGTGTACTAAATAATCTTTAGTGCATGTCTATTTGTGTATTCATGTATTTGATTTAATTAGAGAGGCCGACAGGCCCCAAACTTGGAAAACTAATATAAACCCGCAAGCGCTTACGACTATTAAGTTGATTATACTCTTTACTTGCAAAACAAAAATAAATTTACGTATTAAATTTGATAATGCAGTTAGAAGTATTTGAACAAGCAATGGTCATGAATATGATTGCAAACGAATAATTCAGCTCTTAATCAACACCTTGTGCTCAACTCGAACTTGTTTGTTAAGTAAAAATAATGCATTTAGAAGTATTTCAACAAGCAATAGTCATGAATATGATTGCAAATGAATAATTCAGCTCTTAATCAACAACTTGTGCTCAACTCGAACTTGTTTGTTAAGTAAATACGCTAAGGTCTTAACAATTCATAATTGACTCGTTTATTACAACTTGTTTGAATTTATAATCAAATTTTTTCTTCATTTTGATCTCAAACTTTATTTTGAACTTACTAAGAAAATGCAAAATCGAATCCTCTCCAGAATACTCTATATATTTAAATTAATTATACAACACTTACACAATAATATTAAATTGACAATATAACAATAATGTAAAAGCGTTCTCGATTTAATGGTATTGCCAAATAGTATGTTGCATGTGGATGTAATATTAACTTGTATGAATCTTGTATTTTCAATGCAACATATTTTGTTAAGTGTTATATTATTGTTTGTTACGTCGGCAACAAGCTGTCAATTTAAGATGTCGTTGATGAATGGATATATTGTAGACAAACTGTAGAGGTGGATCCGGGTCTACAAATGTGATGTAGTGAACAGATAGCTATAGCCATGGGGCCCTACAAGTTGGAGCAGCCCATTTTGCAACCATCACTACACACATGGCCCAAACCTCTCATAAATAATTATCCTAAATTGGCGCTAGCCACATATTACCAAAACAGTATTTGTGGGGGTCCAGCACCCACACTTTGAAACTGTGAATCAGGGCCCAGGACACGTGTACAACCTCTGGACGCACAAATGTTCCCCGCATGATGTACATACTACAAATTATTTGTATTTTTAAATTTTTTTTGGAAGGCACATACTCTAAAATCCAAATTATTGAGTGTCACACAATAATGGAATGATATATGTATTTTTTTTAATAAAAAATTGAGACTGTTGAAAAGTTTGAGATTGATGTGAGTTGGGACCCGCATGAGTCAGCCACGGATCTTCCACATCTATTAACAATGACTAAGGTTGTTATGAGTCACCATCATTAGCAAAACGTCGAATATTTACACATTTAATAATATCGTATCATTATTATAATGTGTTATTATATACCCATGTTTCAACGGCAGTCCTTAATTTATGCATGATTTGCGCACCTTATTTTTCTCGTTCTATTTTCCTCATTTAGATGCCTAATAAAATGAAGTGTCAATACTATATGACATCAAGTTACCAAGTATTGTATACAATTATTTTAAGGGTGCAAAAACTCCTTAGAATTGGTAAATAAAGTTAGGTTTTATTTGGGGTATGGAATTAAAGAAAATTTTGGTCTAATTTATTAAATTATTTTTTCCTTTCAATTTCATTAATTCCAACTTCAAAACTTTAATTTCATATTTGTCAAACATAACATTATATGATTTAGTCTAATTCTACAATAATACGATTTGAATTCAATTCTAAATAGGTAAATAACAGTGATTTTGATTGGTCCGGTTTGAATTCCAAGAGGACTGAATTATTAATAATAATTTTATGCGTTATATATATGTATATTATACTATACATTTGTTCAATTTTGATTACGGAGTATTAGAGAATATATAACTTATGAATTAGGATACACCACAGTATATATATTTTCATCATATATATATATATATATATATATATATTATATTCAATTTTTATTATTTCAAACGACGAGAATGTTATATGAATACTCTTATAAGAGAGTCTAAAACTATAAAATTAAATCAATTAAACCAAACCGAATTGATTCAATTCGGTTTAATTTTAATAGTTTTAATAATTCTGTTAGAACCAATCGAATCAACTAAGCGCGTACATCATCACATGTGGTGCTATTAGAATAAAAAAATTTGATCTAATTTATTAAATTATTATTTTTTTTAATTTTACTAATTCTAACTTCAAAACTTCAATTTCATATTTGCAAACATAGCATTATATGATTTAATCTGATCCTAATAATACAGTTTGAATTCAATTCTAAAAAAAGTAAATAACTGTTGATTTTGACTGGTCCGGTTTGAAATTCTAGAGGACTGACTTATTAATAATAAATTTATGTGTTATATATATATATATATATATATATATATTATGAGTCACCATCTTTAGCAAAACGTCAAATATTTACGCATTTAATGATATCATATCATTATTGTAATCTGATACACATGTTTCAACGGCGGCCCTTAATTTATGCGTGATTTGCGCACCTCCGTTTTTTTTTTTTTTTTTTCAATGCAAAATGCTCTATTTTTCTCATTTAGACGCCTAATAATAAGATGGAATGATAATATCTAGATTATATAAAGTGGAAGCGAATTTGAGAATATATGCATGAAAATGGTAGAATTAAGTCATATAATATAAGAGCAGGAGCTTGTTTGGAACAGAAGAGTTACACCCATTGAAGAGAATTATCTGACTTAGGTCAATACTATATGGCATAAAGTTACTAAGTGTTGTAAACTATTTTGATATACTTATATATATATATATATTTATATATAATTTTTAAAAGTGCAAAAACTCATTAGAATTGATAAATAAAGTTAGATTGTATATGGGGCATGGAATTATAGCTTTGGAATTAGAGTTGGAGAAAATTTTGGTCCAATTTACTAAGTTGCTTTTATTCGATTTCACTAATTTCAATTTTAAAACTTTAATTCTATATCTGCCAAATATAGCATTTTTTATTTTACAATAATACGGTTTGGATTCAATTCTAAAAAGTAAATAGCGGTTGATTTTGATTCAGTGCGAGTTTCTTTTTTTATTTTATTATTTATTCTTAGAGTATGTATATCGACACCATTCAAGTAATGGGAAGTTTCGAATCCAATTTGGATGTATATTATGCGATACATTTGTTCATTTTTTATCATGAAGCATTAGAGAATATATAACTTATGAAATAGGAGTAGGATACACCACAATATATACTTTCATCAATATATATTATTCGACTTTTATTATTTCAAATGACGAGTATGTTATAAAATCAAATCAATTAAACCGAACGGAATTAAGCATCCTCTACAGTTAGATTCAATTATGTTTAGTTTTATAATCCAATTGTGTGCATTCCAAATTCATTTTTTATTTTTATTTTATAAATGTAAAGTGAAATAATGATTAGTTATCGTCGTAACGTCATGTTATGAAAATCACCACCTCTTTCTCATAATTTGAATTTAGTAACTATCGAATCTCATCATAAATCACATACAGCATCGCAAGTGGTGCCAATTAGAATAAAGCCAAAGCCAAGGGCTCTTCTAGAACAATATGATAAGCCTCCCAAGACCTCTATAAATATTTAGCCACCTCCAAATTATCTCCTCTACCCTTCAAATATCTTATACGGTCCAAAACAATGGCGAGAGCCACCATCTATTTGCTACCACTATTAATCCTCACCCTCCTTTACCTTTCCGGCACGGCGGAGCCGGCCTCCTCCACTGCGGCCGCCTCCTCGTTGAACTTCATCAAGGCTTCATGCAGTGCCACCCGCTATCCTGCGCTGTGTGTCAAATCTCTCTCAAACTACGCCTCAGCCATTCAAAAAAGCCCACGCCAACTGGCCCAGACCGCTCTGAACGTGAGCCTAACCCGGGCTGAGTCCACCAGAAAGTTTGTGACAAAGCTAACCAAATTCAAGGGATTGAAGAGCAGAGAGTATGCAGCAATTAGGGACTGTTTGGAAGAGATAGGTGATAGTGTGGACCGGCTTAGCAAATCAATAGGGGAGCTCAAGCACATGGGTAAGGCCCACGGGCCGGACTTTTTGTGGCACATGAGCAATGTGGAGACTTGGGTTAGTGCTGCACTTACGGATGAGAGCACTTGCATGGACGGTTTTGCGGGTCGGGCCTTGGATGGTAGGATTAAGACCTCAATTCGGGCATGGGTAACTCATGTTGCACAAGTCACTAGTAATGCACTAGCTTTGGTTAACCAGTTGGCCGCCTAGTACCGAGCCCATTGGTCTTGTGGTTAGCCGGTGGACTAGTCTCAAAATGTTTTTTAATTTTACAGTTTAAGCTCATCTTATTTTGGTTGTATATGATCTAAATGTAACGTGTATGTGTGTGTATATATCATACTATAGATTTGGGGTTTAATTTTTACAGCTTTGGATGGGTTTGGAGTTTGGACAACTTAATTTACTTTAAAAGAATAATCCTACTTGTTGGAAATAACCCCAACTAATTTCTTTCTTTTTTTTGGGTAAGTTGAATTTATTAGAAAAAAAACAGGAATATACAAAGAGCCCAAAAAAAAAAAAAACACACACACACACACACACACCATCTGCTCAAACAGAGCTACAACAACACATCAATCAAGGATTCAAAAAAACACAGCAAGCACATACTAACTGACTGAAATACCAAAGGCAAACGCAGCATTAGTCAGGGAAGAATTCGGAAAATGAAAGAGGAAGCTAGAATCCAAAGCACTATTTTGGCACAGTGATCTAAGTTGTTGTTAAGGTCCAACATGTTGAAACGAGCGAATAACAGATGAGATTATAACGAACTGAGTTATTGATAAGGTTCGGCATCTTGGAAGGTAGCGGAAAATAGATAAAACTACAGTGAATTGGGCTGTCGATAAGATTCAGTATCTTGAAAGGGAGGTGGAGAACAGATAAACACTTGGAAGGTGGGAGAGGGTCTAACATGTTAAAAGGGTCCAACAACATGTTAAAGGGAGCAAACAATAGAAAAATTTAAATTACAACGAACTGGGTTGTTGATAAGATCCAATATTTTGGAAAGGGGACAAAGAATAAATAAAACTACAGTTAATTGAGTTGTTGATAAGATTGAGTATCTTGAAAGGGACGGAGAATAAATAAAATTACAGTAAATTGAGTTGTTTATAACGTTCAACATTTTGAAAGATGCAGATAAAACATTGTAACAAGTACAATTGTTTCTTTCCAACCCAACATAATATATTCAATACACTTCACAAATTCGACCAATTTAAGGCAACCCATTGGATTAGGGAAGACCAATCGTCCGGAACAATGTGAAAAACACAAGTAAATTGAATATATGACCAAATAACCACAACTAAATTTCACTTTATTTATGATTTCAAGATTGGAAATCATATTTGTAGGAATTAGGCATTACAGACAATCAGCTAATTAGAAAGTTTGAGTCCAATCATGTTAACTATAGAAGTTAGGTGCAACTTAATTTGTTACGATAGACCAGACAACTAATTTGGTCCAAGGAAATAGGAGAAAATGACAAACACACACTGTTTAGTGACTAGTGAGTGTGAGTGTGAAAGACATCTCAATGAATTTTGTTAATGTGAAAGAAAATTCTAAATTCGAAAAAAAAAAAAAAATAGACCATTATTTAATGTGAATGGAAGGCGATCAATTTACTTAAATAGATGATATCATTTTGGCATTGTTTAGTAGGTCTACAATTTCGATTTGCATAGCATTATTAGAAAGAAAATGGTGTGCATTGAATGACCAACCAAAAACAAAAGACCTATACCTTTCAAAAAAAAAAAAAAATCATGACCTATCTTTCAATTCCGAGAAAAAATATTAATAGCACTAATAATATAGTACTCGTATTCAATAAATACTCACTATTTCTCTGTATCGGGGTTAGGAAGGGGGATTTAGTTTCGACAGCAACATGGTGACTATTTACCCGGGAATTTTTTTTTTTTTTTTTGTGACTGCACAGATAGAAAGAAGAAGGAAGTAAAACAGTAAAATGATGAACCTAGGCGTTCAAATTAAACTCGAATCTTAGAATTTTTTGCTTTTCAAAATACAAAATAAAACTTGAATGCACAAGAAAAATTGAATTCCTAAGAGGATAAACAAAATAAATCTCTCAAATCTTAATTATTGCAGAAGTATAATGATCAATTTTAGTTTTCTTATTGTAAGTCAATTTATAACCTTAAAGAACTTGGAATATAAGTGATAATTTGGTTAAAAAATAATAATAATAATGATAATCTGTGATTGTATAGATGAAAAAAACTGTACAACTGAAGGGGGCAACATCCCAAAACGGATCTTACCCAATGAATAAATAAATATATTTTTTTTCAGAAATTAAATAAATAAAAATAAAACCCCCAAAACAGAGCCAAAAAAACAAGCCTAAATTTTTTCTAAATATTCCATTAACATGGGCGCAGTTGTATCAAATAAGTGCCTTTATAAAATATTCAATTAGAATAAACCATTAATATGGGGATAAAATTGGGTCATATATGTGACCCTCACGAGGCTGTTTAAATGGCTTTTAATTTGCACCACTCCAATTCATTTCCAGTGTCGGTAAAAATGCCCGACATGGCTTATTGCCCGATAAATTTTTCTTCAATACACTTTTACTTAACTTTCTTGAGTATCCGTATCAATACTTGTCACATTCATGAACTTAAATTTAAATTATGTATGTGATTTGTGATGAATGTATCGTCTAAAATTTACAAATCATTTTAGAATTTAAAGTGACTCACATGTGCACCTGTTATTTTTATTCACCCAAAAATGCAAATTATGATGGACAGCACAATCAAGAGAACGAAAGTTAAAAATAAACACACACACATCATTCACAACATGGATGCAGTTCCATTTCGGATACAAATTAGAAACCTTAAACAAGTAGTAGTTTAAATTTAATAAGTGAGGTGGTTGATGAGAGACAGAGCATTGCTGGTAAGTTTGGCAACACCCAAGATGCTGCTCCTCACCTTGTTCTTCACACTCACGCTCACTTTCCGGCCAGCGAAGCCATCGGTGCACGTGTCCTCGTCCGTTATGGCGGCACTCATCCATGTCTTGACACTGCTCATCAGAAACTCTTTATCCACATCAGTACTACTCCCCAGACCTCCCATTGCCTTCAGAGATTGCTTGAGCTCGTCGATGCTGTCTCCTACATTCTCGACGCAGTCTTTGATGGCCGCTGCTTCGCTGCTCGTGAGTCCCTTCTGTGCAGCCAGCTTTGATACCGTGTCCAAAGTGTTGCGAGCGGCCTGTATGGTGACGGTGAGGGCGGCGTTGCAGAGCTTTTTCGGGTTGGTTTGGACGGAGGCGGCGTAGGAAGAGAGTGATTTGTAGCAAAGTGAGGGATATGTGGTTGAATTGCAAGAGGTTTTGATGAAGTTTGTGTAGGTTGTGGGTGTTTTGGCAGCTTGAATGTGTGTGATGAATAGAAGAAGAGTTAGGAGGAGGAATGTGAGCACATGGTGTGAACCTGAGTTCTTAAGAGTGTAAACTTCCATCTCTCTCTATAGATATCTTAATTTCCCTCCTCTGGCTCTCACTAAATACTTGTATATTGCAGGTTGAGGAGTACTGGTCAATATGCCATTTTATAGGGCACTATTAATTGTCAGGTGGATTAGTTTGTGTGTGTTTTTATTGTGTGCATATATATAATTATATATATAGGGTAGTGTGAATTATAGTGTGTGCATATATTGTGTGAATGTACGTACGATGAAATCATTTGGGTGTGAATGCATGTTTGATGAACACATGAATTTTGGGTGACACAGCCACATGCATGCAATGATGTAGCGTAGGGCCAAAGATATATTGAAGTCCAACCCTCACATCACGGAGTAATCCACCACTAAAATTCAATAATTGTAACACGATGTAAAATCTTATATAATTGTTTTATTTCTCCATATAAATGTGTTGTATAATCTTTTTAAACTATTATATTTTATGGTGAGACGATATTGTATTGTGATATAGTTGTGGCACATCAGTGTACGTAATGGAAGAGAATCAAATTCATGATCCTAATCCAAAATTCTGCATAAGTTAAAAATACTTTGAGATATGTTGAAGGAAAGTATTGTGTTCTGTTCAAGTAAATGAGACAGAAACACAAAAAAATATTAGAAAATGGTAAAATTAAAACAACGACAGAAACACAAAAAAATATTAGAAAATGGTAAAATTAAAACAACGATTTGAAGCTACTAGCTAGTACAAATAGAGGTCTATGATAAGCCATGCGAGTCCCCCTCCTATGTCTTCATGATCATATCTTAAAAATAAAAGAAAAAAAGTCAAAGACGTGGACGAACGTGTTAGCGTTTTCACATACTAGAGTGCGTGAAATGCTGCTGGACATATGGCGTTGGCCAAGGAGAGATTGATTGATCATCATAATTACTTAATTAACCTACCCTACATCAATTTGAATCCAGCGCCACATGTCCTTTTTAACCTAACATAATCAACCATAACCTCAAACTTTCCGAGAAAAATAAACTAACATGATAAAAAGGGTTGGTTTAGTACACAAACACATTCATGTCACAATATAATTAGATCGTAAATAGCTGTCATTTAGTAATATTTTTTTCGAAGAATAAGATGGTTATAATTAAGCCGTTCGGCCCAAGAGTTTTTTGAACAGAAGCCCACTAGAGTTCGAATAAATTTTTAGGCCCGATAAGAATTGGTTATAGCTGAAATTGGGCTACACCCAACCCACTACTTTCTACAAGGGGGTTTCAATTTTCACCTGATTAACTTTGGACCTACTACAGTTATAAAAGGTTCTTCCTCAAATTCAAATAAATCCAAAGTGAATATTATATCATTTTCACTTTTAAATTTACTTGTGCTAACTCTATTATTTGGAGCAGTGATAAAAAAAAAAAAAAAAAATCGTTTAATTTTTTGAGAACAGTTTCTGTTTTCTGAAAATTATCTTTTATAATTCTCTTAAAATGGTTTTTTTTTTTTTTGTTTTCGGAGTGACAAATCAAACAGATCATTACCATAAAAATTAGACAATAATGTAAAAATTAGATCAGTAAGGTCTGAGAGAGAAAATTAGCAATAAAATAATAAATATATACGACTAGATATAACGTGAGATACAGAATTACATGTCTAATGGTGACTAATTAAGTAGATGATAATTTGTTAACGAGTGCCAAAGCATTGCTAGTTAACTGAGCAACATTGACAATATAGCCCCTAATAGTTCTCCTAATTTTCCCCTTCATACCAGCCTCTTCCACCCCATCCATGCACGTATCCTCATCTGTCAACGCAGCGCTTACCCATGTCAATATATTCCCCATTTTCGTTTCGAAATCCGGTCCTTCTAAATCCTCCATCGCCACCAGCGATTGCTTCAGCTCATCCACGGAGTCTTCCATGTTCTCCACGCAATCCGTTATAGCACTAGCTTCGCTTGGCTTCAAATCGTGCCCTTTCGACAGGTTTGCTACCGTGGTTGAAGTCGCCTGAGCGCCTTTCAGGCTCACGGTGAGGGCAGCATTCGCCAGTTCCGTAGGGCTTGTTTGGATGGAGCTGGCATAAACAGAGAGGGTTTTGAAGCATAACTTGGGATACATTGTTACCCCACACGAGGATTTGATGAACCGTGTGTTGGTCTTGACATGGGGTTCAATTCTTGCAGCCAAACAGGTGTTTGTGACCGAAATGGTTATCAAGTACAAGAGGGTAATAGTGGCTACAAGGCCATGGCAAGAAGAGGATGGCTTTGAAAATCTGGAATGTACCATCATTAAATTAGGAGTAATTTTGAAGGACAGTGGATGGTTGTGGTGTGTGTGAAGTCAGTCCTTGCCCTAGCCTTTATAGATGGGGTTTGTGTCCTACATATGTAGGGTTGTGGGGTACATTTCCCAACAATTTTGGATGGTATGGAGTGAATTCACATGCATCATGGATAGGATTGATGAAGATATCTCCTGTTCATCAATATATTTCATTTTCATGACCTTATCACAGTTGTAAGTATGGCAATGGAAATTTTGTGGTAGGGAATTTACAAATATTTGCAAATAAGGGAGGAGGGAAATGCCCAAACCACATTCCCAAATCCCAGTTTTAACAAATAAACTAATTACTAGTATACATTCATCATATATATATATATATATAGACAAGACAAGTGCACACATCAATTCATATACCTAATTTATTCCTTTTCAAAAAACTCGAATCCTTACCATTTATTTTGGGAGGTAGAAGATAACACTACCATTTTGGGAGATAGAAGATAACACTGATATATATATATATATATATGATGTATCCAACTAAAATTCTTTACACACATACAGGTAATCTAAATCTAAGAAGATTTTGTGACCGGTGGCACACACATTAATGACTGTTCCGGCCTAGATGTATTATTGTGAAGATTGCTTATGTGTGTGCGTGTGTACACACACACACACATGTATATTATGTAGCAACAGAAAGTGATCTGAGAATGATTAAGACATTTGTTCTCACGGCGGTTGCAAAATCGAGGAGGATTATAAAAATATTAATGACTGTTCCGGCCTAGATGTATACACACACACATATGTATATTATGTAGCAACAGAAAGTGATCTGAGAATGATTAAAAGATTCGTTCTCACGTCGGTTGCAAAATCGAGGAGGATTATAAAACTTGTGAACATAAATTATTTTCCACAAAACAACAAAACTTTCACATTAATAATAGGGTTAAATGCAAAAAACCCCCCTGAACTATTGACAAAGTTGCAATTAACCCCCCTAAACTACAAAAGTTGCAACTAACCCCCTGAACTATTCAATTTTGTTTCAGATAACTCCATCCGGCAAAAATCCGGCAAGTTTTGGCCATTAAAAATAATTTACTTATTTTAAAAGACCATACTGCCCTTATATGCATGAAAGGACTAACACGCCCTATAACTGTTCACCATCTTCAACAGCAGGCGTTCGTGGTTCAACACCGACAAGCCCATCTTCCACACCGAAAGCCGTTTAACCCAAATCACACTAAAATCCCACTGCCACCACCATTCGAAGCAATTGAACCACAATTTTAAAAAATTTAAATAATTCATAGTGAACCAGTCCAGCCACTGCCATCACCGCCGTAGCCACAAACGTTTCTCAAACAATTTCCCAATTGAATCAATTCAAATACAGTAATTCGTACTGAAACACCAAAGCTCAATCAATATATTTATATATATATAGATATACACACGAGTCGTCACTGGTAATCACCCCAAATTAATTGCACCATGAGTCGTCATTAGTGGTGGCTCCACTACCACCACCATCATCCGAAGGCAAGCTCGCTGCTGCCATCACACCGTGAAGCACCTCATTGCGGCTGAGTCCTCTCCACAACCCGTCGCCCACCGCTGCGAAAGCTCGCCGTCACCGTCTCGCCCCCATCCGAGCACTGCCGAAGTTCATCCACAACCCATCTTGCCCGCTGTTCTATCAATCACCGGCGCACAAAAGCCGTTGTCGCCAACGCCAGATCCGTCGCCGCTGTGCCATTCTCTGATTTGTGCCAGAATCGCGACTTCCCTAGTCGCTGTTCTACACCATCGAGCTCTCTACCAGCCGAAATATCCACAACCCACACCGCCGAGCTCTCTCTCACGCGCCGACTGCCATCACCTTCACCCCTCTCTCTCTCGCTCGGCGGCTACGACGATGATCGATGCTCTGTTCCACATCCACGGTTGACGAATTGCAAAGAGATCTCCACCAGTGCTGCCGCCACTTCTTCCATTTCTGCAGTGTGTGTGGCTTCGGGTTTGGTTGTATTGAGTATATAACAAACTTGGAAGGGCAGTTTCGTCTTTTTACTTTTCCGGTGGCCTGAGTGGGCAAATTGCAACAAATTCATAGTTTAGGGGTTTTTTTTTAATTCAAGGGGGTTAGTTGCAAAACCCCCAATAGTTCAGGGGGAGTTTTTTGCATTTAACCCTTAATAATACTACACCACATTTTGATGAATTATTGAACATAAAAAAAAAACCTATGGGCTTTTCATGATGGTGACGTTGGTTCACGGGTGTGGACAAGTCACGTGTACACAACTGACACACACATGTAGTATACTGTGTAGCCACAGAGAAAAAATTTAATATACATGAAAATATAATCCTCACACGTTGATCCTAAACTGATTGGAAATGTTGGTTTCATATCATGTGTCATCATTTTATTATGTTTCTTTTTTTCAAAAATTAAAGCAATTTTCGAAAATCATTTTATTATGTTGGTTTCATATCATGTGTTATTATTTTATTCTATCCTGTCAAATAATTTAGACAATCATGTCAAATAATTCAGACATTTGAGAGTGGATCCATGGAAGGTTACAAATTCAAAACCAAACGAGAGAGTCTTTCTGCATGCGTACATTTAACCCTACTCATATCATGTAATGATAGAACTCTCGTGAGTACACTGTTTTTGAAGACTCGGACTCCCAATCTGATACTTGGGAGTGAGTAGAGAAGCGGAGAGGAATCTTCTACTCATTGTGTTCCACTTGATCCACTAGATACACTTGTTCACCAGCACTACTTGATAACAATGTCAAGACTACATATGGGTCTTATGTGTTCCAAAACATGAACCTATTCCCAAGTACATGTATGTACACATTCAATGTCTGTGTTCCAAAACATGAACCTATACCCAAGTACATGTATGTACACATTTAATGACACTAGAACCACTACATGAATTGCCTAGATGGATATGCAGAATTTCTTTGATCTTTTTCACATTCTCAGACTTGAGGGATTCTTCTACTTGGTTTCACATAATCAAGCATAAGTACCTTCTAATATAATGTGGGATCATATAAACAAGAATCTTTTGTCTCTGAAAAACCCTTCTTCTCGACAAATGCTCGTCAGAAATGCCAACACTCCCAGACCACTGTCATAAATTATTTTCTAGACTGAAAATATATTACACCTAGTCAGAACGGGAATGACATTGACAATGTCGGCCAACTTCTAAAGTTTTTTCTGATTAATTATTTCTGTTTTCGTTTTTCTATTGCATATCCACCATCGGTGTAACGTTAGGGCATGGTAAGTCCAATTTTGCTACCATCAGATTCTTCAATTTGATGAATATAAAATTGGTCCCAAAACAAGTTGGGGGTAGCATAATATAGACAATTCAATGGGCCAATTGAATGAACCATGTTGCAAAGTGATTGCCATATATCTTTAGGACGTAAGACCCCACCCCACATGCATTGAAGGTAATACAGGTTCAGTTCAAGCACCATCATATTATTATTCGTTTCTGTTTGAGAACATGTTCATGTCCCCACTAGGTACTCTAATACATTCGGACCACATGAATTATTAAGTTGATGTACACTTGCAACTTATTCCTTTTAAAAAATCTTCCAATGTTTAGACACATGTTTTTGGACCACTTATTTTCAAATGAGGTCCTTCAACATAACATGTTTCAATACTCTCTAATGTATGACCCCTCTTGTTGAATGCATTTTACACTATCTGTAGATGTATCGAAATTCAAATGCACAACCTTTTAACTTCGATTCTAAGTTAATAACTACCCGATCTAGAAATTTTAAGTGTAACATGTTTATTCAATACCAAATTCATTACTATTTATGCACTATTTTACAATGAGTATGGTGGCACACTAAACCAGACCCGAAAAGCAAAACAAAACCAAAAGTGCTACATCAAATGTTACTTTTACTACAACTAAACCAAAACAAGAACAACCATTTCTTGTCAATTTTAGGTATGAGGTATCGTGGTGAATAAGAGTTGGGATCCTCTCCTGTACAACATAGTAGGGACGGCTGTGATCGCTCACACGTGTGGACACGTGTGGAGCCCACACGTGTGAGCAATCATAGCCACCCCTACTGTTAGCGGAAGAGGATCCTTACTCAGTGAATAGACCTATACATACAATTTTTAAGCATTAAGACTATTTGTATAAAGTGACTGCTAAAAGGCATATAAGATATGTGTTTTGTGCATATATATATATATATATATATATGAACACGAGATATGTCATATGTGCATTGTGAATCTAAAGATACTTACTACAGTATTTCCGTGAGGCAAACCTTCAAGGTCTAAGTAATGACAAGATTCATTAACTGTAAATTCTACTCTGTTGGTTGTCAAGTCTCAATCTCCTAAATTACACCATAAGCCCTGACCACAATATAGCCAAAAATCATGACACCACAGAACATTATAAATCTATTATTTTCCTAAATTATCAACCAAAAGGACGGCCCAAATTAAATAATTTTATTAGAACTGTTAGAGGAAGCACATCAATCCATTATTAATATGGATATTGAACCACACAATCTCTATATATATATATTTTTTTTTGTAAGTATGAACCACTTGATAACCCCTCACCAAAAAAATCTATTCCACTGCCCACATGAGCTGCTTCTATAAATTTGAAATCTTTCCCTCGCACTCTCATCAAACCACTAGCTTTAAACTTAAGAGAGAGAAGGAGAGATCTAGAGAGAGAGAGAGATGGAAGGTTCATTTTCTAACCATTTTCTGGCAACCCTTCTCATTCTGCTTGCCTTCACCTCTTACACAAGCTCAGCTGCACGTGTAACAGCCCAAGAAACAAGCAATGAGTTCATCAGAACATCTTGCACTTCAACAACTTACCCAAAACTTTGCTACACCTCACTCTCAACCCATGCAAGTGTCATCCAAACAAGCGCCAAACTTCTAGCCCACACAGCCCTCTCTGTGACACTCCACACCGCCCGGTCCACCTCCGCGGTGATGTTAAAGCTGTCAAAGAGCCACGGCATGAAGCCGAGGGAGGCTGCCGCCATGAGTGACTGCATTGAAGAATTAAGTGACTCGGTGGACCAACTGAGAAGATCTCTAGGGGAGATGAAAAAACTCAAGGGCTCAAACTTTGAGCTCATGATGAGTGACATACAAACCTGGGTTAGTGCCGCTATGACGGACGACGACACGTGCACCACAGGCTTTGCCGGAAATGCCATGAACGGGAAATTGAAGACTGTTGTGAGGGGCAAAATTGTGAACATTGCGCATTTGACTAGCAATGCATTGGCTTTGATAAACAGTTATGCTTCTCTCCATAGCTAACCCATGTCAAGTCGGATCTAGATATTATAACTAATAAATAAGTATCATCAATTGATCACTATGTGAGGATTGCTCCTTCAATCCAAAGTGATATTTGTATAAATTATAATTGTACTGAATTAGTGAAATTGTGTGCATGTATTTTGACTATATCATGTAAACAGTGTGAAAATAAGAGCGAAATTTGTGTGTGAAAGTATGAAATTAAGAAATTGAAAGGGATCACATTAGATTAGATTTGTACTGGATCTGAAATGAATCCTGTCTATTGCTATCACGTTAGTAACTTAGTACCGTCATAATGGCTAACCTACTCAGGACAATAATTGTTCAAAATATCGGATCTCCAACAGAAACAATGACTTTTGCAAAATAAATAAATAAATAAACAAAGGCCATTCTCCATTACCGTTGCCTAAGAGTAGTGCTATAACAAAAATAAAACATAAAAATAAATAAAAGAGAGAAAGCAATGTATAAAGATCTAACCTTTGAAATTATCCTGCACAATGGGACTGCTCTGTATCTGCGTCTCTGTCAAGTCAAGCTTTTACCATTTCATAAAGCAATCCACATACAAATGTGAGGTCAATTGAAATTCAAAGACCGAGCAATTCAAAAGTTAATTGAACAAACTCACATCATTCATTTATTCAGGGAAAAAAAAAAACTCACATCATTTTGCTCAAGCATATGCACCAATGCACGTCTAATGTCACTCTTCTACTAAAGACAATTGCACTATTATTGTTAGTAGTGAGGATAATGACTGGACAAATTATTATAGTTTTGAATGTCATGCGATGCTTGAAAGGGGTCTTTTCTCATGATGTCAATCTTATACATGAATTATCTTTATCTTTGATGATGTGAATATTTAATAGAGTTTACTAAGTTAATTCGAGGTATGGTTGTCCCTTTTCTGCTTGTGCCAGCTGACCAGAGGTCTTCCATAAAAAATTATTCTTTCTTACCACAAGTTCTCTACCCTATTCCCTGCTCATGCTACCCCTTGATCAGCTGAGCAGCCAGAGGATGGACACGAGTAAAAAAGGGATTACACCTTAAGGACAGCACTCCCACTTCAGCATATCACTTCCAAATTTGATAACAGCACTTGAGATCATCACCTGTTTTATGATATTTATCTGTACTTATGGGTAAAATAAAATAGCAACTAGTGGCAGAAAGCACTATTACGGACGGGATAGCACATCTAATTCTTTGATACTGACACACTCAGTGAACAAGGATCACATGAATTTAAAGAAACTATATTGAAGGATCAACAAATTGTTATTCGTTTATGAAATTTTCTCATGCAAAATGAAATGGAACAAAATAAGAAAACCGGAAAAAAAGGAAGAAAAGTAAGTGATCTTTCGCCAATGAGACATGTAATCTAACAGCAAGCCATCAAGAAGCTCTCTTAGGAGGAGACATGTTATGAATAAGAGACACTGTTGTTTTGATTGCATATATCTGTATCATCAATCCTGTAAACATTGAAGAGATAAAAATTACAAGGGTGATCTGTAGGTATGCCATATGCATCATCCAATAAATAGCATAAAGATATGGAACTTACCAACCACAACACTAGCGCTCCTAAAGAGCTCAAACTTCTTTGTTTCCCAGCCACTCATATCTTGAAAAACCTATTAGTAATTCCACACACCTTGTCAGAAAACTTCTTATAACCAAGGAGATTGAATCCTCTCCTGGTGAACCGGTTTTAAGTCTGGGATGATCCCAGCCATTGCCGGTGCACTGGAGAGGATCCAGATTCATAACCAAAACATCAATAATGGTGCACTGGAGGGGATCCAGATTCATAACTAAGACCAACAATAAACGGAATTTAAGAATTGGTCAGTCACAAATAGGACCACATCACATCTCCTAAGATAAGGTTGCTCGTTTCCCAGCAAGTGAAAAAAGGAAGAAAAGGTAAAGATTGCCCACATATATGCTCTCAGCTATTAGAAGATGTTTGGGGGGGGGGGGGGGGGGGGGGGGTGGGGGTGGTGTTTTGTAACTTCATGATCAGTGCTCGAAGAGCGTGATGAGATGCAGATAAAATTTGTAAGGAAATGTATACCGAGAAATAATGAAGTAAAATCATTATAAAAAATGGTTATATAAAAATAAAAAAGAAGAGGATCTAAATATGTTATGAGAAGCATATAAGGAAGATGCTGTATGAAGCAGTGTCCAATACTAATCACTGCCTGCCTCATTATCAATAGTCTAACATCTTAATTAGATTACTAAGAGCTGAGAGAGCCATATTCTTCTTCAAAATCACACCTTCCATCAATCCGAAACCCATACAGAACTCAATAGTCTAACCAGTACTCACTGCTTAAAGTCTGTCCCAACACATTACAAAAATCCTTAGGGTGTGTTTGGATAGATAGGGGAGAAAAGAAAAGATAGTATTAGTTAGGAGAGAAAAGAAAAGAAATGATAGTAATAATTTCTATTCGTGTTTGGACAGATAGGGGAGAAAAGAAAAGAAATAATAGTTATTCTTGTTTGGATAAGATAGAGGAGAGAAAAGAAAAGAAATGATAGTGACCAAATTACTGTCCTACCCTTTCATAACCACTTCACACATTATCCATTTCCAAAATCTCACATAGGATATTTTGGAATGTTTCTTTCTGATAGTTCAATGCAATGGGTAAAAACAAAACAAAAAAAGAAAAAGACGAAAGAAAAAAATAAAAATAATGGGTGAAAACAAAATTAGGACATAAATGAAATAACTTTTATGTATATTGATTGTGGAGGGTATTTTTGGTATTACTAATTAATCACTTACTCCACTAGCTATCCCTCCATATCTCTCCCTATCCTCTCTTTTCTCTCCACTTAACCCACCCAAACACACTCCCACCTATCCTTTCTTTTCTTTTCTCTCCCTATCCCTCCAAATCAACCCTACCAAACACACCCTAATACTTACACGAACAAAATACTCACTGCTTAAACACTTTCTCAATAAGTACAATAATCCCTAGTTGTTACATGAACGAAATACCTCATCCAGCCATATCACGCCTTTTGTGTGGCTGCATGATTTTGAATCCTTCAAATTTTGGAACAGACATAACCATCAACTAAGAAACTGTTTTCTTTTTGCAAGAACACCCAAGTATCTTCAGAACAGCATTCTTAAAGCTCTATGATTTCCACCCACAATGTATTTGTCATTAGAGAGTTCATTCAACACTATACAGAAGAGGTCTTTGCAGGAAAATTATTAGCAATTAGAGGTGAAAGGAAACTTGTCGCTTAAAAGTAGTTACGTTATGATGGGTGAAGGATTGCAAAAGTGGGATGTGGGACATTTTCTAAATCACATGAGAAAGTCACTGAAAATACTAAGGCAGGGAAAGTGGAAACGTTTGCATAACCATATTTGTAAAAGTTCTTTCTTTTGTCACAGACACATATATTGATCTTATTTATCCTGTGAAATCCTGCTAATCTGATCTAGATTACACATTTAATAGCATAGGTTGAATAGAATTGTAATTAATTTTAGAGAGACAGTAATGCAACATTTTTTGTGAGCAAAAATAACTTAACACTTTGCCAACAGAAAAGAAATACTAGACTATGTAAAAGCATGAATGTTCCTACCTCTAACGAGAATTTAGACCCAAGGACAATAGCAATTGAGAGCAGTATTGCTATAGATGATGCAAACATGTAACACTTCAAAAAGTTTATTCGGCTGCGCCTTCGTCCTTCAACAAACAAAAAACCAAAATAAATAAATAAGAATAAAATAAATCTAACAAATTAACAATTATGAACTTGATGACGTATAGAGATCAGGGGTCAGCAACCTAATTCTCCTATTATGAGTGAAACAAAACCAATGATTACGGATGAAACAGCAAGTCTATCAACAATCTCCTCCTTTAATATCGATAGAACCATGGTCAGCACTCCTACCAGTTCTACGATAGCCTGCCGTAAACAACAAAAATCATATCAGAAAGAAATAGAAAGGGTACCCAACTTGAAACATGAAACCTTCATTTCTAAACAAAGGAAGAAAAAAGTTTCAGAAACCAAATAAATAAAAACGAGCCCACAAAGTTCATCAAGAATTGAAAATCAATATTATGTTTATAAAACCTTGAGGCTCAGTTAGAAACTCGAAAACCAGGAGGGAAAGGATAAGAAAGTATACTATTTACTTTCCCTTGTTTAATTTTGTTGGAAAACTGTGAAGAAAAAAAAAAATATATATATATATATATATATATATATATCAAGGGAAAAACCATAAGTTCTTCAACTTCGAAGAAACCCAATTTCCAGTGTGCAAAAATTATCCCGTGGTCTGTGCGGAAAAGAAATCAAATTTTTCATAAAATGGATTATTTTCTTTCCTTTTCCTTTCCATTTCCTTTTCCTAGATGGTTCGAAGAACCAAAAAGAGTTTAAGAATCACAATTAGGGTCACATGGTTTGAATTTGAACATTGAAATAACATTCAGAGTCCAAATTCAGAATCCCATTCAAATAAAATCATATGATTGTTAAAAATCTAGACCACTATGTTTGCAAGCCTTAGTTCAAAGTAATTGTACTAAAATTACAAACTTATTTCAATTCATAGATATATCGTAGCAATGTATATTAGAGAGAGAAAGAGATGCAAAGAGAGAGAGAGAGTAAAGAACCTGAGCTAAGATGAGTTTGGAGAGTCTCGATTTCCCTTTAGCTACCTTTGTGTACCCTAAAAACGAAAGCCATTGATATCAAAATCTTAGCTTTAAATAACCTAATTTTTTTGAAAAATAAAAATAAAAAAAATTAAAAGGGGAAAAGAAAGATGAAGAGGCTTACTGGAGTCAACAACCATGCGGTAGGAGAAATCAGAGCCGTCCGTACCAGATGGTCTTCCATTCCCAATTGTAGATTTTCTCTGCTGCATATTCGAGACACACTCTCTCTCTCTCTCTCTCGTTTCTGTGTGAAACCTTGAAATTCGAGGGACCTAAATACCACTATTGGAAGTTGGAACTACGAACTGAGAGCGCGTGTTACTCGAACAAACCATTCGAACACTTTTTTTTTTTTTTTTTTTTTTTCTTTCCTTTTAACTCTAATATATTTGGAATGCTTGAAATTGATATTCCGAATGTAATTGCTATTGTTTGGAATCAATGAAATTTAGAATGAAATGGGATTTTACAGTGTTACTTATATATTGAGTAACTTACAAATTTTACAAGGTAACAAATTTATAAATTTTTATGGGATATAAGTAACACTGTATATATATGTATATATATTGTAGTGAAACACAATAATAAAATGATACTCCATTAAAGATATTTTTTCTTTATAATTAAATTTCAATTTATTTCAAGCAAATGAAATTTCAATTCGAATTCTAATTTTCCAAAGACAGCGTCTCTACTTTTTTAACCCGAAATGACAATAACTCCATTTGCTATTTCTTTTACCACTTTATTTAAAATTTAACATACGTGATTATGATATATTTGATAAATCGTTGAATTTAATTATTAGTTCAACAAAAAGATTATTGAAAATTTGACATTTGAGATTATGATAAATCATTCAATTTAATTATTAGATTAACAAAAACATGAATCCCATAAAAATTAAGTTGGTTTATATTAAATGAATTAATTTCTAACCAACTCAAATCCGACTTGTACCCAAAATTGAAGTTGTCAACCCAAATCCATCCTGATTCTAACTCAAAAATACTACAATATGTGAAAAAATTATAGCACATGAAACTCATAGGTTTATTTGGAAGTAAAATTCTAATTTGAAGGGTTAAGTAAGAAAACGACAGTTAATTGTGTTATTGATAAAATTGTGAAAACCAGAGGTTTTACGTTGTATTTTTGTGCCAAAATAATACTTGAATTGCTATAAATTATACCCGAACCAAACCCGGGATTCGGCTGAAAACTTTTGTCAGTAACCATAGGTAGGACATTGTCAATAGTGAAAATCATGGTCCATAAAGTTCAACAAAACTACACATTAGTATAGGCACATAACAAGCAAAATAGGTATGCCAAGAGATCATCACTTCCTTTGCTGCCTAACTAAGAGCTAATTTATACAGAAGAAAATAAGTATCACCAGCAATATAATTAACATCACACACAATGTATCTCTTCTGAATAATCATTTCCAACATGTTTCCTCAACAAAAACCGCGGCAAACAATTTACTTATCTATGTCAAGGATCTCGGCATCTAAAAATGGAACCGGATCCTCTTGCGTCATTTCATCCCATGCCACGTCCTGTACCATGTGCCATTTAGATCGCTTATGCAATGCCTTCACATCATTTCTGCAACAATTTTACATCACTTATACAACAACTACATTACATCGCTTATGCAACAACTAGATTTTAAGAACTGAATTTTAAGTATTAATTGAAGGGAGCTTTTCACCCTCGTGACTTTTGGACCCAATTTTATATCAGCGTAGACTTGCACATTCATAGTTGAAAGAAAATATAAATCTAGGATGAGTAATTCTAACAGGATCTATCACAATGTGCAGGTTCCAAGTAAAAACATTTGTGCATAAGCACCTATTTGAAATAAGACAACACAAGGGGAACGGTCATATTATTCAACATGAGAAACAACCATCAAAATTCATTTTAAAATGAAACAATTCATCTCATCCTGGATTTCATGCAGCCAAAACAGAACAGCAAATGCATGCAACACAGGATTGGCATAATTCAAAGAGGCAAGAAAGAAATGAACTTTGCATACCTTATGGAGCACAGGGTCTCACGTCGATAAATTTCTTCTCTATTCGTATTTGATTGTATGTATATTTGAAGGCACAAAACTGAAATGGCATCACTGGAAGAATATGAAAAGAACTGTAATCAACACCAAAATTCATTATAAAAATCTTTATGTAACAATGACAACCCCAAAAAGAGAGAAATTCAGCTCAACAAAACAAAGCAAGACCACAAAAGAGATGTCATACATAATAAAATAAATACCATTCCACCAAGAAGAAAATTACTCATTTGATATTACATCTAAAACATAATGGAATTTAAAATGACCTTTAATATGCTATCAAAAAAATTACAGTGGAAGACATCAACTTAAACTTCACTCGATTGTTTTTACTTTAATGTCATCAATAACCTTTGAGAAGATATGAAACACGTGGAGGAAAACTTTGGAAAGACCCTGTTTTTTCTTTGCCAAAGAGGCAAGTTCTTTGTCACCAACCATAGGATGGTTATCGCCACAAAATTTAATGAATGCCACTGCACTGCATTCTTTATTGGACAAGAGCAGAACTTGTACATTATTAGCAAAGCTGTAAACAAGTATAAACAATTACTACAGAATATTTTTATTGTCTAAAATATTTCATATGCATATTTAATCATGAATTCGGAGTGAATATGATTATAAATCTTGTATAATTAAGTGATATTTAAGTAATAGATGCCAAACATCTAAATACAATGCTTAATTAATTTGTATTATGGTACTTATGTCTTGATCTTTCGCTCGGTATTTTCAAGTAGTTTCTGCATCATCCTTGAGCTTTATAAATTGACGGGCAAAATATCTCTTTACAAAAAGTTATTTACTTACAAAGCAATCAAAGTTCTCTTTCAGCTCTGAAACATATGGGCCTTTGCCGCTCGGTCATCAGATTTGATGAATGAGGAAGGCATAATTGTGTGCATGGCTAACAGCTTCACCATTGGTTGCTTACACACTGCTTGTTCTTTAGCTTTCTGAACCAGATCTATGAAGAACTTGAACTTTTCCTCCACGCACACTGGTTAGATTGCTGTACCTTGAAAGTTAAAAAGGGATCAAGGAGGAAATATAAAGACATATAGCTATACAAGGTAGGTATAAATTGAGGTTTGAACAATGAGGAAAGGCCAAAGAAAATTGCAGTGCAAATTCTCTAGTGCTCAATTTTTCAATTTAATGCCTCATGCCTTGGAATCAACATTTCCAAAGTCAATTTAAGACAAATAATCAATTTTTTATTTTTATTTTTTTGTATTAAAAAATAAATAGACCAACTCATAGCGGCAGAACCTTTTAAACTAAAAGTAATTGGGAAAAAGATATAGATTTTTTTATTTTATTGGATGCTAAAATATTTAAAATATATTTCGATATATGCAAAATTATAGTTACATACAAATGCATGCATGTGCATAGCTGGGTCTGTGAATGTACCTTGATTGTTGACAACTAGGCCAGATCATATGCAAGCTATGTTACATGGACTCGGGTAAAGGTATGCATCCGTGCGTCAGACGTATCAAATCTCAAACAAAAGGACACATGTACACTACTACATATTCATTTTATTTAACATTTTTATTTTATTTTCTAGGATAAAATAATGTATTTTTGTAACATAATGTTCAATATAGGCATTTCACTCATTTTGAGTAGTAACATAATTAAATTGAATTATTAGATATGTTTTTTAGGTATATGTCTAACGAAAAATGTCGGACACATCCCATACTCATGTCTGAGTAATGTGTCTTTGACACGGGTATCCCACCTACTTTTGAAGAGTCCATGTAACATAGTATGCAAGGGTTGTACCGCTAGGCCACAGGCCTATTGGTTAAAAAAATAAAAATAAAAAGTTTGGGCTTATTCACTGTGCATCTATTTTCTTGTCTTATATAATACTATTGGCAGCATCAAACAGCACTATGAAGGTGTGAAATATACACTGAATGCTATTTTGAAATCTGAAACATAACTTACAATTTTGATTGTGTTACACGTTGAATTTTACAAACCCGTCTCTAATAGTGAATTTCGTGTTCAGGTGGAAGTAGGTTCTGGGCTTCACTTGTCTGCTTCAACATTGCAGAATTCTGTAAACAAAAATTTAAAGGTGAAAAGGGAATAATTGCTAAAAACAAAATAGAAGTGAAATAAAATACTATTCCAATGCCGTAAAAAGTGCAATGTGAAGGTAAATCTAGTTTAACCATTTTTATTTTAAGAAGTATAAATCTGTACATGAATTTCTGTTTGCAAATAACATGTTATGGGAAACCCACCACTGCAGGCTGTGAATCTATGGCAAGCCACTACATTTTTCCATTAGCTGAGAAAAAGTAGGACCTGTAGCTCAGAAGACTAGAACACATGGCTACCTAGCCCAATATTGGAAGCTTCAATTCCTTGTCACAACTGCCCAGAAGGGAAAGCACCTTTCCCTCCGGAGATTAGAAAAATATCCTTGGGGATAGCGATCAAAAGCTATGGAACTAGGGTGTGGGTCTGTTGTTAAAATGGAATGGCCTTACTTCTATTGTTTTATCTTTGATGGAATCATTACATGTTCACTTGTCTTTTTGTATCATTCACCATACTCTTCCAGCCAGACCTAGGCAGAACTGCAAAGCAAGTACTAGTATTAGTAGCATAAAAAACATGTCTCCGTGGGCTTAATAAAGAAAGCTACTTTAACTAGGAAAAAAAGAAGAAAGAAAGTAACTTCAACTCTACATCCAAATTTCATTTCAAATCAAATTATTGATCTATGCCCGATTATCTTTCGACCAATTCAAGAACAAGGAAAATAAATCTAGTAATAAATATTCAATAGGATAATAGATCTTGTAAATATTCTTGTTTCTTGGGTAACAAATGTTCTTATGAGCTTATTTAGGTGTATATGGATATAGAACTTGGAATGATATTAAGGAATTGGAAATCATGAGTCGAATTTCACATGATTGAAATTTCCTTGAATAAAAAACCCCACAATACAAAAAGTAAATTGGCTTCAAGTTAATTAATGAAGATGCTCATATAGATGCAATAACAAATGATGCTGCAGTGATCGGGGTAATGGTGGCAACAGCGAAGTTCTTCAAAGAGATTGATGTGGGTTGTCACAATGGCAGTGGAGTTGTGGAAAAGGCAGAGGTGTAAATGTAAGGCGCACACTTACAAACTATGAAACTCCAATTGTTGCAATATTGTTGTGCTGAACAAGATTTTTAGGGTTGATTTTAATCAATTTTATGTACAGATATACAATTTGATCAATTAAATATTGGTGCGTCACGAATTACCCTGTATCACTGGTGTCAGACATGTATCTTACATGGATACGCCACCTTCATAGAAATGTCCCTACCTAGACATTGGTGCAAAGTCAACTCTCTCTCTCTTTAACAAGTGACCAAAATTTTCCAATGTTATGCGGTTAATGGGCTCTCAAACAACAAAAACGAATTTGGAGCTGTATTGGTCTGTGAATAGCAACCATGAATAATAAAAGAGCTACTTTTACTTCTCTTTTGAGCTAAGATTGATTGAAAAAGGGAAGTATTAGGGCTTGATATAGGATTTTAAGGATAAAAGGAGGTTAGAAAATATCTGGTTGTAGGAGTGTTAAGGCTTATATAGTGTAAAAATTAAGAGAAAGAAAAAGCTCTAGAAATTCGCTCCTAGAACCCCATAGGCATAACATCTAGGATTTGAATTTCATAATACAATCCATGAAGAAAATAACTGGTGAAAATTTCTCTCTCACATCTAGGGTTTCAATTGTATTTCCACTAAGAGCATAGTAGCTAGAAATTCCATGTTCTCTGTTGAACTTAAACATTGCATGACCACATATAGACCCATAGGTAATCCTGACTTGTATGACTTAATTTTTTATTTTTTTTAATTAATTAGACTTCACATTATATTTAGGAAGTAGTAGACTTTGACCACTAAAACACAAAGCAATAAGATAAAAACCACAAATTAGACTCAATACCACAACTTCGCTCAAAAGACGACACATAGACCAGGGCTGCAATCTGTGTCAAACAAAGCTTGAAATTACCAAACTTCCCCTTTAACCTCTAGAATACAATAAAATGTATATAGAACTGACCACCAGACAGCAGCATAAAAACTAAAAATAAACATACAACAGCACTCTACTTTTTTTCCTAGTTGGTACTCACACACACGTCTCTTCTAAGACTTGAACCCCTGACCTCCCTTTGAGAAGTAAGAGGCTGATACCACTAGGCCACTAGCCCGTTGGTAATAGCACTCTACTAAGACGGTAAGACTAGAACTCAACTATGGAAGGACCCAAGTGACTCTTTGAAATCAAAACAGTTCTTAAAGTTCCTCTATTCTTTGGATTTACTTTTTCTTGAATTTCTTATCAATTGAAACAACCTGATGGCAGCAGTATGTGTTTATTTTTTTCCGGTAAATCAATGTATTAAACCAAAGGAACTATACAAAAAGGAAGAGGGAGGGCAAAGCCCAACAAGCCCAAAGGCCAAAGCCCAAAAGCACCAAAAATCCACCCACCTAGCAACTAACCAAACCAGTTGATGCACCAGAACGTGCACCAACTGCAGTAGAGAGGAAGAGGGGGAATGAACATTATAAACAGGCAAAAATTAAGGGTGTTGTTCCCTCAAGACAGAACTAGGAAGACTCCAATCTGCAGCAACTGACCTAGAGGCAGGGCAGTCCCCGAAGTGAGAAGAAACAAGCTTTCCTCTGACACAATCCTCAATAGTCTTGCATACCCCAACATAACTAGCAATGGTGCATAAAAAAATGATCAGGGTGGTAGTAGTGATAATGGGTATGAAGTAGCAACCAATGCTTTATTCCTCAATTACAAACATTTTGGTACAATGCTTTGGGTCTCCAGATTTTGTCCTTCAATCTCCAAGAAGATTGTTCAGAATCCATTCCTACAACTAGAATTTAGCATCAAAACAATTGGGAGCCCTATTCCACACTGGAATTCAACTTATCCAAATGACTACCAAGTACAAAGAACCCAATAGTTGTGGTATATCATTGACTAAGTAACAAATTGTTAACCATTAGGTGCTATAAATTATTATTTTCTGTAATAAGTATGATACACATCTACATTCCAAATGGAACCCTCACACCTCACCTTTTGGTGGTGGCAGGAGATGCTAGTCATGCTAAGAGCTGGTGGTGTAAATACCGCAATAAATCTACTTCTAGATGCATTATATTTCCCTTCTTAAATCTATTACTCTATTACTGCTTGAATTGGAAAATTACACGCGAAACTATTTTACTAAAAAGAAAATGTCAAAACACTTCTCCCTTGACTGGGCTTAAAGAATAGTTAACATATAATAATTACTATACAGAGTCAGTTATATCAAATATTGGGAAAAAAAAACATATTTTGAATTACCAACCTCAAGATCCATTATATCAAATATTGGAAATTACCTGATGGTTGTCAGATGCACAACAAGGCCTATTTAGCAATCCTGCAGAAGGGATTCATAAGCTTTAATATTTCCCTGTTAAAATCACTGATGTGGATTAGTCACATACACATGACATTTAACACCAATTAAAATCATTATTGTGATCAAGAAGGAAAAAACATTGATTAAGAAGCACAACAGGAAAAGGAACAATGTGCAATCATTTAAGTTATTCAGAATTACCAAAATCCCAGACATGCGAGCTCAATGATGTACTGCAAAATGGAAAACTTTGTGTTATCCTCAGCATGCACAACAATTTTCCTTCAATCATGAGATCAGTTCCAGTTCTCTTTGCCTATAGCATGATTCTGTCAGAAGCCTCTGTGTAGATTCATATAGAAAATTTCCTCTAGTCAGAATCATATCATGTATCATTACGGCTTCACGCAATTTGTTTTCTTCGCATAATATCCCAAGCAACCAGTTACGATTATATCGGCAAGGTACAAAATCATGGGCAAGCATGTCTTCGCAAATCCTCATGGCATGAACACTCGAACCACCAGCACAAAGACCACTGAGTAAATATTCATAAGAATTCTTGGAAGGAGAAAACCCTCGTTTACGCATTGTATGTGAGAGTGACAATGCATCGAGTAGTCTTCCAGCCCTACAAAGGCCTCGTATCAAGGTGCTGTAGACAATTCTGTCTGGAGCACAACCATTTGCATTCATCTTATTGAACAACCCAATGGCACAGTCTGTTTCACCTAATCGCATATGCCCATCAATGAGAATAGTGAAAGTCACCTGATTGGGAACTACCCCCTCTGTTTGCATCAATTCAAGATGACCATATGCATCTTGCATCCTATTCGCCCAACAAGACCCATATATCATAGCATTATATAGGTACAAATTCGGCATAAATCTTGAGGCTTTAACTTTTTGCATCAACTTCAATGCAAATAAACTTTTTTCTTCAAAAGAACTAATTGAAATTCTCAAACTATCTTTCATGGGCACCAAACTTTTCCGCTGGAGCAAATGGAACAACATTTCTTTTTCCCTTTCAGACTTCCGATGTGCCATGTGCCATGTTCCTGTTGCACATGAAATATTTCTGCAAACACCACTGAGCATTGTAATACAAGAAATCAGGTCATGCTCAATCTGACTATTTTCCATCAAACCAACCAATCTAAAGGCAAATTCCAACTCTCTTTTCCTCAAGAATTGTTTGATAAGAGAGGTATAAAGCACCCTATTAGGCATAAAACCATCTTCCAACATTCTATCAAGGTATAGGCAACCTTTCTCAGTCATGTTTTTCTTCACTAGCCCATTTATAAGTGCCGTGTAAGCATGAGAATTGGGAAGAATACCATGTTCTACCATCTTCTCAAAAAGTTGGTGGGCTTCATTAGCTTTCCCATTTTTGGAGTAGGCATTAATCATTGTGACACAGATGACTTCATCAGGATCAACACCATCCTCAAGCATCCTCTTAAACATATCTTCTGCTTCAAATATTCTTTTTTTTCTGCTTAAACAACCTATAATTGAGTCATAAATAGCAACACTAGGCTTCACTCCCATTTCATCCATTTGGTCCAGAACATTAAAAGCTGATGCAAAGTTACCACGCTTACAGTTTTCACTTACCAATATCAGGTAAGTTGCTAGATTCGGAACCATTCCCCTGTCTTGCATGAGGTCAATCAGAGACTTGACATCATCAAGAAGCCCCTCCTGGCAAAGAGACTTGATCACGGAGTTATAAGTTGAAAGCAAAGGCTGGCATCCGATACTTTCCATTTTATCCATCCAAAGCAAAGAAACATCTGTTTTCCCTCGGGCACACAATGCAATAATATATACACCGAAAGCAATGTCAGCCAAATACGAGTTTCTTCTCCCAATTTCCCCCAACAGATGCTCAATGCCAAGCTCCAAATCAGTTGTAGGATCAGAAGTAGCACAGGTCGAGAGAGGTGGAGGGTCAATACCACAGCCATTCTTGGCTATTGCCCGCAAAATCATGAGAGCAAGATGAAGCTCTTTCCCATTTGGGTACTCCTTGATAAGAGTAAAATACAGTACATGATCAGGAACAACCCCAGTTTTTACCATCCTGATGAATAATTCATCAGCCTCAACAAACCTGTTCTCTTTATGAAGTGCAGCCAACAAGACTGTGTAATAGTGCGCATTGGGAGTGATATTGCCATGAGTCATATTGTTTAAAAGCATCAAAGCACAATCAACTTTCTGTTCCTTGCAGTACTTACTAATCATAATATGGTAAGTTACTACATCAGGTTCTATCCCAGTTTCAGCCATATGATTATGTAACAGCCACCCTTTATCAAACATACCCAAATTAACAAACCCGTGTATTAGTGTGTTATAAGTATACGTATCTGGGTCACACCTCGTTTTGAGCATTCTAAAAAATAACCGCATAGCCATTTTCATTTTCTTGCTCTTGCAATACTCAAAAATAAGAGAAGTGTACATAATTTTATCTGGACATAGACCTTGGGACTCCATTTCTATACTCAGCAACTCGGCCTCCTCAACCCGACCTCTCTTACAAAAACCATAAACTAGTGATTTGTACAAATGTCCAGTAGGTGGCATCCCTCTATCACACATTATATCAAACACATCAAGGGCCTCATCCAAGTACCCACTAAAGCATAATCCATCGATCAGCATTTTGTAACACCAACAACTTATAGAAGTTCCAGCATCATTGATCCTTATAAAGCAATCGAATGCCTCCAAGAATCTATCATGGGCACAAAGATCCCGAAGGAGCACATTGCACGCACCTTTACAAGGCTTGGATTTCATTAAAATAAGCCTACCAAAATGGGATTTTGCTTCCTCCAATTGTCCTAACTTACAATAACAAATAATCATTGAATTCAATATCGATGGATCAGAATCCTTACCTCTATGTAAAATGTTATCTCTATATAGGAACTCAGCCATCTTGGTTTCACCAGAAGTCACAAGTTTCCGTATAAGGACACCATAGCTACACAAGTCAAGCTCCATGCCTCGCACCATGGCAAAATCAACGGCCGAAATTGCATCCGGAACTGATGAACATTGTGATACAATTCGCTGGATGACTTTTTGCGCAGATGATAATAAGCCACGACGAATGAGCTGGTCTGCTAATGAAAGGCAGAGACTTTTGTGGTCTTGAGTGATAGGTGAGACTGAGGGACTTGGAGGCTCCAGTGGAAAAGGGCAAGCAGTGAATGGTTTTCTGGTTCTAATGAAGAAGAAGAGGTCGGGTGAATTAGGCTTCTTCTTGATCATATTCGATCAATGTGTGACTAGGAGGAGAAATTGAAATGGTTTAGAGGCAGAGATTAGCATTTCAGATACCGACTCAGTTGATAAAACGGGAGAATTTCATGAACCCAGAAGATTAAAAAAAAAAAAAAAAAAAAATGGCGACAAAACCTGGAAGAGACTGAGCAAAAAAGAGGCTGATGAAGAACAAATAGAGAGAGAAGATACAGAGACCAATATATATGCAACTAACCTAAATTGAATTTAAATTGATAAATTGCAGAAACAATTGGGGTATAAACAGTGGACTAGAGAGAGAAGGGAGAGAGAGAGAGAGGAGTGGTGTACGTGCAGTGGGGGACGACGGTTGCTGATATACTAAAGCCCTAACTAGGGGTTAAACCACCACTTCGGGCGGGGTCAAAACCGGTCAGCCCTGTTTTTGGAAATAAAACTAGGGATCCAGACGCAGACAACTCTTGAACCGTTGAGCCCAGGATAGTGTCTTGAGCCCAAATTCTAAGGCCTTCTTATTTTGGGCCTGTAATTGTCTATAATCGTTGCAATATTTTTCACCGTAAATTGTACGCAGTATCATTATTTGAATTGAGCAGGTGATCAACACAAAGATATCATGAACCTTTCAAGGGTACAAATCCTCTCCAATGCACCAGTATACCATAGTGCATCAAAAAATACTTCAATCAATCCACATAAGGTGGTATTTTATGCTGAGTTGGTGCATCCAAAGTATAAATTATCTATGTTCTCAATGAGAAATTATTAGATAGTCTTAGATCATTAACACTTGGTGGACCAGTTAAGTATAGACTCTCGGATTGAGAAAATGAGCCCACAAAAGTGTATTACAGTAACAAATTACAAAACTTCTTGATGGGAGGGTTTTCATTAAATTAGTCCACCAAGTGTCAAATAGACCAGGACCATTTAATAATTTCTCGTATTTTCAATATAGTTGTCCACTTCGCAATTTACGAAGTGGACAATTATATTGTGATGGAGGGAGTGTCAAATAGGATTTTGATTTTATTTTAAATGATAACGAAGTGTCAAGAATTTATTGATTAATATGGTGAAGGAAAAAAAAAAAAAAAAAATTCCAAAAAAAAAAAATTAATAATTAAAATAAAAAAATAATGATTGAGTGCTTGAATCACTTACCTATAGCATATCCAAAACTATCCAAGCAATTAATTTTCATATTAAACCACATTTTGGCAATTATTGGATTTGACAGGGTTCTAACCTGCCATTGGAAATGTTAGCAGGCTCTGGACCCTCATGGTTAGTTTGGACGGGCCATGAGCTGGACCGCATCATATATACTTTCTTTTTTTTGCCATAGCAAAGCAATAATATTATTCGAAGCAGGAGCAAGTGCGAGAGCAAAAGGACAAAAACAACAAAATATGGATCACAAAGAGTGGGAGGCTAGAGCAGGAGCGAAGAGGCTTGCGGAATTGAAAAGTAAGAGTGCATACGAAAAACGAGAACGACATCTATCTAAAAGAATTTTGTGACCTACGAACGAATACAAAGAAAGTTCAAAGAATAGCCACAAGGGCCATATGACCCAGTCCACCTCCCCTCTTTGACTATGAGCTGCCCATTTGCTCATCAAACCATGAGCTACCATTTTACAGTTTCTTGGTGTCCATCTCAGACTCCATTGACTACAATGCATTGTTGAATCATCACCTTGAATGTATGAAAGAGACTACTCTCCCCTAAATGAATGAAAAAGAGGTTTAGCCTAATAATGCTCTATTTTAAATCTCAAAGGAAACAATATTAGTTTCGGAAAGGTCTTCCTTGAAGTAGCATTTTTATTTTTATTTTTTATTTTTGTTTCGTGGTACCTTAATTTGAGTATTTATTTATATCACTGTTCTAGTGCTTTTAGGGTTCCAAATAGTCTACAAATGATCATAATGATAATAATAAATTTGTTGTTGTAATTTTCAAGATGGAGGTGGTTTTTGTTACTAAAAACAATAAATGTGATTAGTGAAAACTCATTATTTTTCTTTTAAGATAATTGGAAGAATAGTCCTAAAAACTTTTTTATGGTTCCATATTTTAAAATTTTAGATTTGTGATAAGTCATACGGTAATAACTTTCACGATAACCAGATACAATGCTGTCTATTTTTGGAATCTTCGAACTAAAGACTTTTTGGGGGGTTACCCATCCTAGTACTACTCCTGGTTAAACACGTTTAACTCTGGAGTTTTGATGAGTTTACGGCCATCACGGCTTTAAAATGTGTTGTGTCATAAAAGGATATTGAATCTAGATATAGCACTTACCTCATCCATACTCAGACGAGTGGGATTGTAAACCTATAATGTTAGTGCTTCGCACCTGCCCACATAAGTCACCACAATCATCTCTCCTTTGGGACCCAACGTCCCTGTTGACCACACTTTCAGCTGGGTCAAACTCTGATACCAGTAATAAAATTCGAATCCACTTCAGTACATTGCAATGCACAATATATAGAAGATACCATAGATCAACAAGATAAAATGACGCCATCTTTTCATCACTCAAATTAAATTTGTCCGCTATTTTTTTATTATTTTTTTTTAACACGATTGCATTATTAACTTTCCATTATTGAGAATAATTGGCCTAATAGTCTATGAAGATGATCTTAATCATTTCATTTTCTATTTGTTGGCCTTTATTATTTATTTTTTATTATCATGGTTATTGTTGTCACTATAATTTTGAAGGGGACTTGTAAACCAATATGTAATCATCATTTCTACTATTACATGTATGATTTATCTGTTTTTAGGTGAAAGTTCCGTTCTTAAAAGGAAATGACAACTACTAGCTACATTAAAGAACAATTACTAATCTCAAGCCCTATAAATTACTAAAAGAAAAAGATATATATATATATATATATATACACACACAATGTAAGCTGCACTTGGGTGTCAAAAAAGAGGTCGATGGTGCAATTGTTTGACAGGCTCACAAGAGAGATAAATTAGCCAAGACAACTACGTCATTTAAAAGGTAATGTTACATCATTTGTAGGCTTAACAAAGCTGACGTTTAAATGATTTTTTTTTTTTTTTTCATCAAAAGATATTGTAAATTCATAGAAAATATCTTTGAGATGTTCCACTTTTTTTGGCAAGAAATATCCCAAATAATGTTATGGTTCTTATTCCTTTTTTAGAATAGGTTAACCAAACAAAGCCTTATTGCACTAAATCTCTTCTCGTTTTAAAGCATTACACAATATTATTATTATTATTATTACTTTTTATTTTTGTGAAAATAAACAACCACTATTTATTAGTCAAAAGACGGTTATGTAATTTGCTGATGAAAATTGCCACGGTTAAAATAAAAAATTAAAAAGTTCAGTCACAACCTAATTACACCCTCCAAAATCACATTCATTAATGAAAAATTTTAAATAAATAAAATACTAATTAAATTAATGACTCAAAAATATTAAAACATCAGAAGTTATCACTTAAATATAATCACGAAAGGGATAAAAAATGGGGGAGGGGGGAAATGTTGCTGAGAGCTCCTCAAAATATTAGGTCTCTATTTGTTAAATAAAGAAAATCTAACACACAATTTTTTGTTTGACTTACTTATAATTAATATATGTCTCATATTATACGTATATCAGGTCTTTTTTCTTTTTTTTTCTTATCTGGGTAACATCGCCCCAAAAAAAAAAATTTAATTAAGATATACAATATAAATATAAAAACAGGGGAAAAAGGAATTTTTTCTTCTTCTCTTGGTAACAACATAATATATATATATATATATATATATATATATATATATATATATATAATAGGAAAAAAGAATTTAAAAAAAAAAAAGTAGAGACCTACAGTACCTATATTATGAGTCATTATATCAATTATAAGTAAATCAAATGAAAAATTAAATTTCTTTTATTTAACAAATAGAGACCTAATATTTGTAGCATTTAAGTGGTAATTTTTTATGTTCACATAATTGGTGGATGACTTGGTAATCCAGTGGTTTAATACTTCCAGTGAACTTTGGAGTATTAAAAAAAACATAATTATCTTTTTTTATTTTTGGGTATTTATATAATTGTTGTCTCTGTTAGTCAAATATGGAAAGCTGTAACAACTAATAAATAGATGTTTGTCGCCAAAAAAAAGAAAAAGAAAAATTGAGTGGGAGCATTGTGCAACGCTTTTAAACTAGAGGGTTCAGTGCACTAAGGCCAGATAACAATCTTCAAACTTTTGAAATAGAGAATCATTTATGGATATATACGCGATAAATAATAATTTCTCATAAATAATGATAATTAAACAGATACTACAAATAAATGTTTAGAGACGTTTAGTGGCTCCTTTAAAATAATTAAAATCTTTCTTGTGATAATTAAAACATCAACTTGTGACCGCTGTGATTAAATAAAAATCAAAGTCTTCCACCAATTAACTAAGTAAATTATATCATTTGTGTCATAAGATATAGAAAATTTATAAAATTTGAAGAATTTTTAAAGAAGATTTCATTATTTATATATATATTTTTATTTATTTTGAAACACCTTCCAACAAATCTAGTTTTCTTCCTATATGAATAAAAAATTGGGTGATCGACAAAATGATGAGCTTCTACATCTCTATGGAATACGATTCAAACCTGTACTTGAGTATTACATACTCCTTGATGGTACAAAATACTTGTTTTATATATATATATATATATAGAACCTACTCTCTTTTTTATATATACATACAATAATAAAATTGGATTGAACTTGTAACCACCCATGCCTTAAAGGGACCAAATGGTAATGACTGATGGATCCCTTGCATTTTTATTTTTTATTTTTATTTTTATTTTTTTTTGCTTATTTGTGAAATTTCATTGTCGAAGAAATTCAGCGAAACAAAAAATCACCGGAAAAGATTTGAATCCCTCCATACAAATTAACCACTCTTATTATGAGAAGCGATCTTGTAAGGGATCTACTTTGCATTACAAGTATTTTTGTGAAAACAAAATAAGCGCCCCCCCCCCCCCCCCCCCGGCGGGGGCGCGCGCCGCGGAACTATGAGCATATTGCAACAAACCCCTCTAAACTAAAAATAACCTCCTAAACTATAAGATTGTGGCAATTCAGGACAAACGGTCAACCACCGTTAACAAAAAATTAAAATTACATTTTTACCCATGAGTTAAACGATGTCGTTTAAAGTATTTTCTAATCTCAGTTACTGACATGGCAAAAGAAATTCCAAAGTCCGGTAAAATGATAACACGTACATCAAAACCCTATCTCAACTCTATTTCAGTTATATAGTTGTTACCCGCCAAACACGC